CTCTCTCGTCGCGAGGTGTGTCGGAGCAGGTGGAAGAGGCAGTGGCGGATTTATCGATAAACGGTCGTCTAGGACCCCGTAGAATCCCGAATTATCCTGTGCACTTGTAATTGTCCATTTTTTTTAGAAGTTTACAGTTATATATATTTCGCACGTATTTTTAAATCGTACACGCGTTAATAATAATAATCTGCAAATGACGTAAATGACATTTAAAATTTTTAATATGATTATAAGCTGTAATTAAGAAGATTCGCTTTAATTATGTATATTATAGGGTTGTTGGAATATATTGTTTCGCTTAGGGTGCTTTAAACTTTAAATCCGTTACTGAAGGGTGGTGGGAAAAGAGACGAAGAGTGCCGAGAGCAGAATTTTCCTCTTCTCTTCCACCGTCGTTGCCTTCTTCATCGGCTTCGAGCCGGAGTCCTTGTGCTATGGCTCCCTCGCATCGACGCAGTTTCGCAAGTGGCGTTCTCACCAACGAGTCGATAATTCATCTCTCTCTCTCTCTCTCTCTCTAGCGTTCTCTCGCCGGTTGCTGGATTTGAGGGAGCATCGCGACGGATCCGACTAGAACGCGGAGAATCGGCCTCGGTGCGCTTCCAGAACGGTCGAAGAGGATTAACTCGACCGAAAGAGCTATATTGCATTAGTCGGGCAGGTGCTTCGGCAAATGTGTCTTCCTGGTTCAATGTCTGTTTCGTCGCGAGAAATCATACTCGATTCGTTTCACGCAACTCTCTAATTATTCTCGTTTCTATTAATCCGACGAACAAGCTCGTACTCGACTCCCCGCTTTATCCGCGCGAGCAATTACGCGCGCGTCGGCGGTGCGGGCGCGACGATGCGTTTCGTTGCGTGCGCGACCGATTAATCGCGTCGCCGCGCGCGCGCGCGCGCGCTGCCGTCGATTAAATATTCTCCTATTAACGTCCGCTGATCTCACCGGCGCGCACCGAGGGCGAGATCCATGCATCGGCGAGCGAGACCACCCGGTTTCTCCCTCTTTCGCGCGCTTTCGCCCTTCCTCTCTCATTCCTCTTTTCCCTCGCATCCCTCTCTCTGCCATCGGCATGTCGGTGGATCGATGACCGGCGATCAGCCCGGTGCACACACCGCGACACTCCTCCGCGTACCATCGGCTCGTTCGTGCCGCCTGGATGCAGGGGCCTCGACATTTTGACGGCTTCTCTCGGCGCGACCTACTGCGCGCCAGACCCCCTCTCGCGCCTCCCCCTCGGCACCCTTTCACCTACCTCTTCCACCTAGCCACTCTTCCATCCCCGGTGCACGCGCGCAGATACACGTGAATTCGGTCGACGCGCCGCCGATGCTCGACGGCGCAGGGCGCATCGATGCGGTCCCGCCGCTTTCCCGGTGATCTTAATTGACCACTCGGGGACGCCCGGCCCCCGATAGAAATTAGCATCGATTACATTATCGGCGGACGGTTGAAAATGAGGACGGGGAAAACTGCGCCGGAGCCAGTTGTGAGTGGATATTTCGGAACCGAGATGTGATGAAATGTTACAATAGAGTACGCGGAAACTAAACAAATTTAATTTAACATTATTGCAGTAAGCTGCGAAGTAATAAAAATTCAAGAAGCAAGCTGTCGAGAAAAAATACGATCAAACATTAATTTTTAATTTAATTTGCGTTATATTAGAATGTAGTTAATTAATATTATATGTACTGCTCATTTAAATGCCAAAGTAAAATGATTTTATAGACGTATAGTTATTTAATATGAAACAATAACATAATAGAGTTGAAATTTATTTAAACTTTATGCTGAATTTTTTATATATATCTTTTGAAAAATTCAAACTGTTACACAATGTTTTATTTTTAGCGAGTATTAATTACGTGATTAACAAAGCATTACGTAGAAGCAAATCGTATTGTGCAAAAAATAAAATTACAAGTTTCTATTCTTGTAATTTACGTTTTAAATGTCCGCTAACCGCGTCTGTCGGTGAAACGGCAATTTGCGGTTTGCTCGAAGAAGCGAAGGATCCATCTGAACAGTACCGGCTGTGAGAGACACGGACAAAAATAATACGTATCGATCTAACGGGTTAACTATCTTCACTATCCCTCCAGCGACGCAGCTGTATAATCGGTTTAAAAAAATTGGTCACTTAAACTACTTTCTCGATAGCTTTTCCTTAAGAAAAATTTAGAACAGAAAAATACAAACACATACCTGCGTATCTTTTATTCTTTTGGCCGTAAAAAATGTTCAATTGAGAAAAAGTTGCGGTTTACAAAATTTCAAAGAGCAATTTTAATTAAATTAAATTTTAATTTAAGAAACTGTATTTTTTGCCAAAATTTGTTATAATGGCAATTTTCGCGAAACGTCGACGAGAAAAACGGATAATTGCCGAAGAAGGGAAAAGGCACGTGAAATCGACCGAAAGTCGGAAGCTAGGCGGCACCGTCGGCGACGAGCACACGCGGCGGGCGTGCGACGTTTCTCTCGCGCACGAATGCTCCGCAGCAACGCGGGATATACGAAGCGTAATCGCTCGCTCGCTCGCTCGCTCGCTCGCTCACTCGCTCGGCCTCTCGGGGTGGGTGTAGGTAGGTAGGTAGAGTCGGCGGGGGGTCGTGTATCGGGCAGGTTCCTAGAGTCGCGTCGCAATCAATACCTCCGGTCCCTCTCGCCGCCGTTCCCACCCGCGCGTTCTCCCCGCGTCACTCACCCGAGAATATTTCTCTCCGCTCGCCACCCTGTACCTCGACCCGCAAAACTCGCATCCTCCCTCGTGTCTACCCTCTCGCCGCCGTCGCGAGGATTGCTCACGCTCGTCGTCGCCGTCGCCGTCGTCGTCAACGGCGGCGGCGACCTACAATCGCGTCTTCGACATCTTCGATACCGCCTTTTTTTGCTTCTCCGATTAATATGGACCCCATGAGCTTTAATGAAAATTGACGCTTCAGTTATGACGCTCTATACAAGTCAAGAAGATGATAAGGAATTGTCCGATGATTGATCGATTCATCTTAATCGTATTAATTAGTGGTGGCAATAATAAATACAAATAGTATTTTTGTTTTGATACGAACAACATCACGTTGCGGAAACGTGACGTGATGGGACCAGATGATTCGCACAGTTGAATCAAGAACGATCGGGGGTGAGTTGTCAGTGCCGAGGTTGGCTTCCCGCTTTTCGTCGGCTGATAACGCGCGCCGACTTATCGCCGGCGATCGATATTATCTAATCCAGCCGGGCTATTTATAGACCGTGGCCCGACACTTCGGGACGTCGCGTTCACGCGGCGCAAAAGTAACAGGATTTTCTAATTTAAGCGACCTGTGCCGGCTCACGGTAGCCCGCAACACATTCCGGGCGTTTTTATCGAAATATTTTTCCTCTCTCGCCTGGATTCGCGCTATCCTTCACATCGGCCTGTCCTCGCGAGGATGCAATAACCCGTCACCTATTTGCGGAGCGCGCGTCATGCGCGTTCGGATAAATCGGAAAACTTTGACGGGGATTCGCGTGTAAATAGGGTCACGTTGAAGAAAAATTTTATTTCCTCAGGACATACCAGGATATTTCCTCTTATGCTCCTTGTCCACTTCACGCGCCAGTGCAAAATATTTTTCTTTCACGTCCTTCGACATGTTTTTCCAGAAGATACCTAGCCTAAAGTGATTAAGGAACAAAGCATTTTATTTTCAAAATACAATAGCAAAATATTTAAAAAGGTTATAATTTCACATAAATTTTATTTTTGAGAAAAATATATTACTGTAAAAAATAAGGCTAAACATTCATATTTTAATGTCTGAAATAACAAATAAAAAAATTTGCGATTTACAGAAACATTTGGTTAAATTTTACCTTTTACTTTTTCAAATTTAAGATTTAAAATAAAAAAATTCTTTGTCTAATTATTGAAATCGACATGATAGACATGTTTTTTTTAAGAAGAACTAGCCTGACACTGATGTCTTTATTGGACTCTCGTGGATTTTCAGCGGCGATCTTTCTTCGCCATTCATTGGCGAAAAGCATAAAAGCGTTTGCCGGCCTCGGGATCTTGCGTTTAACTCCGCCCGCCGTCGCCGCATCCGCGAGTCTGCCGCCGTCGATGCATAACAACGTCGGGATGCCGGCGCTTTTGCATCTCGGCGATCGATTCGCCCGTGTCCGCTGCTGTTGCTGCGGAAAAATCTTGTCCGCCTCGCGGTTGCCACGCGATAGCTTCGTCTCGCCGGGCACGCGCTTTTCTCTCGCATTCTTCTTATCGTCGTCATCATCATTCTTGAAATTTTTATCCGCGAGAGAACGTATGGAGGAAGTAACAATGTCATCATTAAGTTTCCTCTTTTTCAAATGCTCAGCGGAAGAGAATGGCTTTGTTTCCGCCGTTGATACCACGACGATGACTTTTCCGCGGTCAATGCAGTCGGCAGTGCAGCGCTTTTCTTCTCGAATTTTATTTCCTTCATCTACGCACAATTTTATTAACTTTTCAATTATACACATTTAACATTAATATTGTTAAAACGTTATTATTTGTTAAATTTTTTTCCACACACGACAAAATTGTTAAAATTTTACAGCATTGTTACGTTTAAATGCTTTGGATATTTTGAGGACATTTCTTACGCGAATGTTTCATATATTGCGCTATTCAACGCGCATTTGGTCGACAGGCGTATTATCATATCATGAAATATTTAGAAGCCAAACTCGGCTTCGCGTGCTTACCTTTTTCGGTAAAACTCGAGACACGTTCGCGAGTCTCCATAATAAAAATCTGACTTTCCTCTGGAAACGGCCGATCGTTGTACAGATTTATATTGTTATGCGCGTTTAATAATGCACCTGAGTCTCTTGATAATGGCGAAACGTGACACGCGAATGTAGGCACTCTTCCGTTGTCGTCGGCATCGCATCGGTTGTTGAAAACATGTAACGATGCGCCGATCGTCGTATTTCTGAGCTTTCTGTCATCTAATGACACGCGACGCCATGAAGGAAATAAAAGACACTCGCCGCAATGCTTGATTAAGTAAATGTCATTATTTGAAAAGACTTGCATAATTTCTTACCACCGCTGCTTTTCGGCATGCCTTCTCAAGCTTCAAAGACAGATCTCAATATAGATACATCGCTTAATAGATGCGCGTGCATTAATCGCAACGTAAATTATTACAAAGTATTGTCAGTAAGCAGGAATTGTAATGATATAGAAATTAAAGAGGCGTAAGAATAATCTTTTTTTAATAAGAATATGACCTCTACATAAATGTGGTGGTAAAGAGAGGAGAAATATGTCTTCTAATAAAATAGCGCGGTTATTTTTTTTTCAGATACCGACGATGCGCTACACGATACAACCCCGCGCGGCAAAAGAACGGAGGCGCCGAGGCGATTTTCGCCTTAGCAGCTGAAGCGTACGACGTGCTCTCAGATCCTCTTAGAAGGGCCGTGTATGATCAATACGGCGAAGAGGGTCTTAAAAATGGTGTGCCGAGACCAGAAGGATTTGTGAAGCCTTACGTTTATCACGGCGAGCCAATGCGAACTTTTAGGTGAAATCAAAAGTTTTTTATTCATTCCATTGAATCGCGCATTTATTTAATTTTATTGTGGCTTTATGATTAAAGTAAAATATTTAAGAAATTTCTTTTCTTGGAAGTAGCGCATTTTAAAAAATATATATTTATTATGCGTTTGGTAGATTGGACTTCTAAAATTAAGTTACTCAGTTGTTGATTCTTTACAAAGGATCTTTAAATTCCGGTATTTTAGAAGCTAATGCCCATCACGAATTTTCTCATCAGAGAATTTTTTGCGGCTGAAAGTCCGTACAACGATCTCCTGAATATTCTAACAGAGCCTCAACCTCTGCTCGAATTTCCCAAGAGTCGGAGCATAAAACAGAAGGAAAAGCCCTTGATCAAGACCTTGTATCTAACTCTTTCGGAGGTATACAACTGACTTATATCGGTTAATTATTTTTTTCATACTTCGGTTCTTCGGGTTTGGTTTTTTATTTTAAAATTCTTCAAAAATTGCAAGTTGCTTGCAAACAATTAATTTTCCTCGAAGGAATTTTATTGTGCAATCTAAAATTTCAAATTTTGTAAAAAATAATGAAAATTAAATTAAACACGAATTAAATATGCAATATATTCTTGAAACAACGGCGCTATGAAAAACGAAATAATCGCACTTTAAACAGCCTTCAAAAAATTTCATCGTAGATATTTTTCGGCGGAATAAAGAAAATGAAGATTCAAAGGTTGGTCTTAATCGGCGACGATAAGTCGACGACGGTGCCGATGGAGAAGATCTTGACGATACCCATTAAGCCGGGAATTCCAACGGGTATCAGAATAGTATTTCCAGAAGAGGGTGATCAGGGAGCTATGAAGATACCCGGTAAGCCCCTACATCGACTTCTTGATCTCCCCTTGAACTCGATTTTATGATAGTAACACTGCTGTCCGTCGCCTGATCATTACAATAATTGCTATAATAAAACAGATGGATTCTTTCTTTGTTCGCTAAAGTGGTTTACTCGCATGTTACCGCAATTTTTCACTTTTATTCTAATTGTAAAAATAAGCAATTGTCTCAGTATCAAAAACACGATATTGATACGCAATAATTTCTTACTTACGGCAGAAGTTTATAATAGAAAATACACCAAAATATTCTCTTCACGGTTTGAATTAATTTTTACATTGCAGAGATAAATTTTATTGTTCCATAATTTATAAAAAAAAAGTATTAATCATAGTTTTAACATTTTGTTCATTCTGTCAACATAAGTTGCCGAAAATATATTACGATGAGAATTCGTAATTGCTGATCAAACGAGATGATCAATTTACGGTCATATGACAATGCGGGCGTCCCGCAGAATAAGGGTTAAAGATTAATCGTAGCGAGGTAGGGTGATATCTTCACTAAGTCCAAGACACGTCAGCGTAGCGGATGTTATCTTCGTCACGGAGGATCGGCCTCACGAAACGTTCCGGCGGGAAGGCTCGGACTTGCACATGACGGTCGATATCTTTCTAAGGGAGGCGCTGACCGGAACGGTGATCACGGTTAACACCGTCGACGACAGAACTCTTCGGATCCCGATAACGTCGATTGTTACGTACGAAAATCTCTTTTTTTTTTATGAAAGCTAATATTACAAAACTGCATCCTGTTCCTTCTGTTTCAACAAAACGCGTTTTGTTGCATTTATATATTTCTCGCAAATTAATTATATTTGCTCTATAGCGAAAAATTATTTGAATAGTAATTTTGCATAAAAATAGCATGTAAGTATGTTAGATAAGATTTTATCAATGTTGATTTATTTTAATATTATTCAATTCCATTTATTTTGTCTTTATTCGAAATTGAGATTATACAACTGATTGTGTGTGTCATTTAAATCTCTCCTGACCTTTTCCAGACCAGATTACACGAAACGCATACCAGGCGAGGGTATGCCCTTTCCTGCAAATCCGAAGCAAAAGGGTGATCTGATATTAAAGTTTAACATCGAGTTTCCGATTTATCTGCCGTTATCCAACAAGAATCAAATTAAAAAAGCTTTCGAGGAGTTTTGTACAAGCATCGAGCGTGACGAGTACACTCTCATATTAACCAATAAAATGCGCAGAAATATCGACGATAACGTTCCATTTCGACGTGGCGATCGATTGGAATTTATATGTGAAACGTGATTTCGAAAATATCTCTTGTAAGATATTTTACGCGTTATTTGACATGCATATCGTATTCGATGTCGTAAATTTTTCGACATTGTAAACTCTACGAGAAATTATGTAAGAATGAAATCTGCTCGAAAATTGTCACCTTTGCGTGCAATTAATTATTTCATTGCAATGCGTAATTAATATTTATAGCTGAACTATTATAAAATGTAAATTATTTTAGACTTGTTATACAATTATTTTCTATGGTAATGTTCAAATGCAAATGTAGACGGTGGTCAAAACAATGTACGACACAGAAAAGTATTAAGTCATTCTTACATGTGTAAATTTAATTTTATATAACATTACATTAATGTTTTATGCATTTATTCTATAAATATTTATGCGCCTGCTTTATCCAAATGTGAAGCAGTTTTGTTGAAGAAAAATTATTTACATGATCGTAAATTGTAGAAGTAGTTCACATGGATCTCGGCTTCTGACGTCATAAGCCAAAATAGCTGATGCTGATATCACTGACCCTTAAATGTGTGATGTGAGCACATCAATATCAACGGACCCGTCGCGCTTTCAAAGCGACCGCTCACTTCTGCATAATGCAACGGGTGTCCCCATCTTACGGTGATCTACCGATGATCTAGCAGTTTTCTGTCGGTACTCCATGATCTATCTCGATCTCTCGCGAGATCTATAATTTCTCGCAGGGAAAAATCTGTATGTGAGAAAATTCATGCAACGGACATTGAAAAATTCTGAAATAATTCCAATGAAAATAACACGAATAAGTCCCCTCTTTTAAAGCGACGCTTAGTAAGAATAGCGGCCGGAAAGCGGCCTCGACCATCAGCCAGCGAGGCTGAGCTATTATCTCGGGCAATCATATGACTCCTCCGCACGTGACTTTATTTACAGTTGACTTTATACTCATGCGAACATGTATGGTGCAGTTACCGCGTGACATGATAGACCGCGAGACACGAGTCTGACGAGAGCAATGCGGTAACTATATAGACGTACGGGGCCGTGGCTTTGATGATGCCGTTGCTCGACAAGTTGCTGCCGTCGAGAAAGAGTAGTGACAGTGCCGAGAGCCCAGTGTCCGGTGCGCGAACAGCTGTGAACGATGGGTGAGCAAGAGATCGGCGTGGCTCCATTTCGGAGCGCGTTTTCCTTATCGCTCGATATTCATAGATGTTCCAAAACGGCTCGCACAGCGTTCGCTGCTGTTATGATAATATTTCTCGTACTGCTGCATTAATCTTTTACATAATTTCATTCCGTGATAACATTGAGAAAGAAGAAGTGCTACGTTTTGAGAAAAAATGGAACAACGAATTTTTTCCTCTGTCGCGCGCGCGCGGCGAGATAAAAATGACAATTGCGTTGAAGGAAAAATTATCAACGACTGATGGAGAACTTGAAATTATTTCGGATAGTCTGATACTTGAGCTGGTTCCTAACCTACTTCACTATTCTTACTCCTCACTTGGCTCCATTCTCTCGTGTCAGCGGCTGTTTTACCAACGCAACTTTGTGGCGGCAGCGCGTCGCGTCTACAACGCGCTTCGAGGCCTTTCCATTCGAGAAAGATATGAAAGCTTTATCGGATTTTACTATACAGGCTGATTCAATTTTTACGTTATAAAATAATTACCGGCTTTTGTTGCGCAATTTTTTAATTTTTGTTTTTAATTTTTCAGATATTTTTTATTTTAATTTAATTCAATCTTTTTTTTTATTACAATTCAATATATACACAGATTGCAACAAATTATTATTTAAATTAATGATACATTGTTACAGAAAAACTGTAACTTAATATAAAATTGTATATACACAGTGTACTGTAACGTAATTATTTAAAATATTTATGTTATTTTATTTTCATTATAAATTAATGTCGAGTTATTTTCGAAAATTAAATTTAATTCAAGAATAAAAGTACATTGCTACAGTAAATGGAATGCAATAATATAATAAATTCATACATTTATTAACTATATTACCTTATTTATCTAGCGTATAAATGAAAAAGTTTTTAAGTAAAAATGTGCATTTTGTGACGTTATTAGAGACTCCGTGTTGCATCTTGGAGCGAATCAAGTGCGGATTTTGCTATTTCGAGAATGCGAATGGCGCGGTAGGAAAGTTCTCTTCGATTCGATGACGGTGCAAAAGCACCGAAGTAAAAGCGAAACCGTGTGCACAGCGGTGAACAACAATGCGGAGGGAAAGTGCGAGGCGTCCTTTAACATAGGAACCACTCGCGATTTCGAGGTAATCGAATTTTGCACGCTAATGGCCATTATATAAAGCTTTTATCAAAATTACGTTATTGGCACTTATATTTTTAGTCTATAAATATTGAATATTGCTGAAGAAATGTAGCATTTATAATTTGTTAGCGAGATAAGACGATCGAGAATGATGTGAGCTTGCTAAGCGAAATGGTATTCGGTACAGTGGCAATGACGTACAGGGGATCATCGTTCAAGGTAAATCAATTTTAAAATAATCGCGTTTAAATCTTATCGCAATGTATACAAATGTATTTCATATTGATTTATTTTCGAAGGTTCATTCGATGAGTTCTCCGCCGTGCATTATGTGTACAAAAATTTTTCCTATGACAGAACACAACACATGCAAATCAAAGTGAGCTATTTTTGATTTTTTTTTTCAAAAACATTTACATCAAATTTTTGATGTATTTTTTTATTATATTACAGTGAAAGAGTTTCGGATGAAGGACTAGGACGATCTATGCACATGGATTCTGTCTCCAGCAACACTAATATGCGATCTCTTTGTAAGTATATCGACATTATTTTTGTTTGTTTCGAGAGATTTGTACATTGAAATACAAAATAAAACAAATAAAAATTAACCCTTTCAGCTTCTCAATTAAATTAAATACATTTTGCAAGAAAAAGAAATCTAAAAAAAGACTTTGCATATCATTTATGACTGATTAAATTACGTTGCTCAAACTATTGCGACATATATTTATTTTACACTTTGGCGATTGAACTATTTAATTATAAAGAATAAAAATAATTAATTAAAAACATTGAAAATGCTACAAGTAGTTGGAAGGGTTGTTAAAGATAGCGTCAGAATAAATTCTGATTAGGTCTCCATCGCAGTCTCCCGGCCAAGCTCTGGCAATCTGTCGGGCACCGATTTGCACGCCGGTCCACGGAAGAATTCAACGTGTTCGAGTATTGGCAGCGGCTGGGACATAGACATAACTCCGCCGACGGGCAGTAAGTTCACGCCAACGAATAGAGCGATTCATTGCCGGGCAAGACGGAGTATGTTCGTAGCTCACGTCGTAACGCGATGCTGATCCAGGTTTGCAATCGTTGGAGAGCAATGGATCGTCCGGCATCGGCAGCCTCACCAGCTTACGTAGAAGATGGCTGAGAGCAGTCTCGACCTCTCTCGGACGATCGGATTCCGACGACGTATTCGGGATGCAGCACTGGATCGAGAACGGAAGTGACGGGCGGTGCGATGGTCACGCGAAGCGTCACAAGACCAGGCTGGGTTTGACGATATTGGTGCGATTGACTCCGGGCCACGAAAGGTACAGAGCTATCTACCTCTTCGATAAAAACAAAAAATATATTTGTAAAAGATGAAGAAAGAGTAATCTAAAAATATATCTAAATATTTTTGCTAATTATTAAGAAAAGATAAAAAATAATTGTATATGATTGGAAAAATTGAAGGGAAAATTGGACATTAAGATTGTTAATCTCCGTTTTACAGCATATATAAAAAGATACACAAATTTTTTTGACACTGTAAAAAATAAATAACTATTAGATGAAAAATATTTGTGATTCACAGCCAGATGCAGACGCGCCTTTTAGAACACATGGCTCTGGTGGAAGGGATGTTGGATCGTTTGCGATACTTCTGCATCGAGAGCAGCAGCATCAATGGTTCAAATTGCAAGGGAATGCAACTGGCGGATAAGATGTGTAAGGCGACGTCTCGATTTGTTGTTTCGCCGTTGCACATACTTCTCAACGCCGACGTTGGCAATCGCACTCCTCTGCTATGGCACGAGGTTCTACTTAACTCCGTGACAGTGAAAGAGAAGACTAATACCTTGCACCGGAGTTTGCAACAGATGTGTCAGTTATTCGACGAGCTTGACACGAAGTCAACAAATTTGTAAGTGCAAGATTATAGATCTCGGACTGAGCGAGTGTCCCGATACTCATTTTAATATCTTTCAGCTTCCTAAGCACCGTGGTGACCGCTGTGTTGACATATCATCTCGGTTGGGTGTATACCGTGCTATCTCCGCATGATCGGCAGATGGTGAGCTTAGAAAATTATATAAAAGAGAAAGTTTCAAAATAGATAAAATATATGAAATTATATCGGATTAATTTTATTGCAAGCAAAAAAATCACACAAAACCAAACTAAACGGCCAGTAGAACGAAAAAAAGGTCGTCTATAATCGATGGAATAAAATTAATAAAATTTTTTAAACATTTATTAAAGACTATTATTTTGACGTCCGGAGAATTTATTAAAACTTTTTCAATGCTTAATTTTCCTTTCAGATCGAGAAGCTGGGCAGCTGGTATTCTTGCAATCCGCTGTGGGCGCAGCTTGGTGATCTGTACGGCGCGTTAGGCAACCCCGTGAAAGTGGCGCATACCGTAGTCGCGGGCGATTCCCGGAAAAGCGATCTAATTAATTCCGTGCTGTCGTTTCTGTCTTACTTTATTCGCAGCGGACTAATACGGAAGCACCGGGAGTACCGTTGCTCGTTACAGCAAGACGTGCAAAAAGCGACGAACATGCTGGAGCAGGCTCGCAGCAAGCGGCCGTACCTGTTCAACAACAAAAGGCCGACGTGCAATGATCGAGACGTCTCGATCCGCAGACGCGAATCGCGCGTTTTATTATCACGCAAGCCGACGCAATCGCCCGATGCCGGAAACGGTGGTGTTAACGAGCCGCGATGCGCTCCGCAATATCCCGCGGAACGGCCAAGGATCTCGCGATCCGTCAGCCCTCTGAAGCGTAGCGGCACCATGAAAGCCGGCCTTGACGCACTCATGACGAAATCGACCGAGGCGTCGATAGATTTCAAACTTCCGACGAAGGAATCTTCACCGCGCGAAAGTCACGAGAGCGAGAAATACGGGCAGGACAATCGATCGACTGAGAACGGCGAGAAGAATTTTGTGCCGGGCAAGGTGAAGATAATTGTCAGCGAAATCGATTCGCAGGAGGGTGTCACGCCGAAGGGTTATCAGCCGCAAAATTACTCGCAGTATCCCCTGCGAAGTTTTGAGAAGAAGCTGAACGCGCGCGATGCCGACGAGAGTCTCGCGAGCGGAAAGACCGAGCTGCATTCTCAATTAGACAATCACGTGGATCCGCTTAAAATGTACTACAACAGACCCGAATTGCCGCTCGACTTGAATCGCGGATTCGCCGATGAGCTTAAGGAATCGCAGGTCTTTTTCACTCTCGGAGGGGAAGATAAATTCGCGAAGCTGCCGTCGAGACCACGGCTCGGCAACAACTGTCAGTGCTCCCACACGTTCACGAGGGTGCCGAGTACGTCCGCGCAGCTCCCGGAAGGTGTGCTGCGAAAAATCATTCAGCGAAACTTCCCTGAATCGTCGAAAAGCATACAGCCACCTCCGGGAACGGCGTCCGGTATGGGCGCGCGGTCCATAGGCTTCTGTTTGAAGTGCAACGGTCAGGGATACGCGGCATCGCAGAATTACGACGGTAGCAAACAGGTGCTGGAAACGCCGACGAACGCGACGGAGGTGTTGCGTACGTGTGGAAGTTCCGAGGGGGGTAGAAGCACAAGACTGTCACGGTCGAATAGTCTTGAGGCTCTAATGGAAGCCAATAGCGTTGTGGAATTGCCGATGCCAAAGTGAGTCTATTATTGATACACTCACATTAATAACACAAATTTGCTTCTTTAATTTTGTTATTGTAAAATAAACTTTAAATTGGTTTTAAGTGCCCATCGATATGATTATGACTGAAGCAAATTCCTCATATTTGGGAACAAATTTATTTCTTTAAATCGTATTAGAATGGTATCAATACTTTCAATATTAAAAAAAATCTTTGTATTAATTTAAAGCTTCTTCTTGTGATAAAAAATTAAATTAAATTAATGAAAAGTTATGAAACCAATTTTTATATCATCATAATAAAATCGCTTTTCATTTTAACTCTACTGATTTTTGTTGAAAAAAAAAAATCTTTATTTTAATTAAACGTGACTACTGTTACAGGTCGAGAAAAGTTTCACCAAGCAAAGCTGGTTTAATCAAAGAAATGGGTTTCACGAAGACCCTCTTGCGAAATAAAATGACGAATGACGAGGCAAACGTTTTAGATACAAGTTATACTTGGGGCTTGGTATTACAAGGTGTGACCAAGAAAAAGAAGAGGAGAAAAAAGAAGAAGACTTCGGAGGGCGAGAGAGACAATACCGAGGCTGAACCGGAAGAAAAGTGGTGGTCGTGTATGCGGGAGGAAGTTATGGCCAGTGCTCGATTCCCGACGATCGATCAACCAGTCGCAGAAGCGCTCTGTGTGCTGGCCGACTTAGACACATGGCATGTCGGGATCTTGTCGAACAACGCGCCCTGCCAAAATCCACCCTTACCAGTCGGAATGTCGCGCTTAGTGTCGAATATGTTGGAATCTTTCGCCTATGTTTGGCGAAAATATCGCTCCGTTACTCACGTAAGTCCCTTTCCCAACAATTTAATTAATTCTTTATTTGTTTTTATAATCTTTTTCATAAATTGATAAATTTTACATGAAACTGATATTTTAGTGTATAGCAATTCTGGAGGCCAAACTGAGAGAACTGTGGCTGAGAAGCGAAGCTTTGGCAGGGATGATGATGTCCGTGAAAGAGTGCGACGCCAATATAAACAATTTAACCGACGCTCTTGATCTCGATGCAGCCGATATACCGCTCTTGCTCGCGGTCGCGACGACTCATTCTCCGGAAATAGCGCAACGATTTGGTCTTACGCTAACTTAGATATCTACTCGATTGTTCATACTGATTTCTATCTTTACGTTTTTCCATTAACAGGTACTTCTGAGTGACGTATCAATATGTGTAATTGATATTTAGATCGAAAGAAAACAATGATCTTTCGTCGAATACATAGTGCAATATTATGATTAAAATTATGAATAAATATAATAATACATATCTAATTGTAACTTAAATTATCAGAACAAAATATTAAGATTGACTTACGTATTCAACGCTATTACTCGTTTTACTTTTGTAGCGAATTGCGTAATATTCGTACGTACAATTTCAAGTGCGCGGTTGATTCTAACTAATGTAATATGTATTGTCTGTATTTGGTTTTTTACACGATGCTTGCAATTCTACACTCGATCAATAAAATCTGGGTGAGCTTTTTAATCTTGTATTTCCTAACAATTTCTCAATATTATAATTTTGTATCAATTATTTTATATTTAAATAAATTATTCACACACACACACACACACGCGCGCGCGCGCGCGCGCACGTCTGAGATGCGAATCAAATATTACAGATATACACATATGTAAAGATGAGCTTTAATAAAACGAATTTATCCGTTTACTATCGATATCGTCAAGTGATAACGTCACACAACTCGGCCGTTTAGTTTTTTTTCCACTATCCGAAATATCTTAAAATTATGACAATTTAATTAAATTTTTCTGCTGTATTTTGTTGTGATATTTAAAGTGAGACACCGGCACCGACGTAAAACTGTTTAAGAAATCATGGAGATCTGTCCCCCTGATCCGTGAGCTGACATCGCAATAATTCGTTGATTAAACTTCGGTTTTGACATTATACTTCTTATATTCAAAAATTTAATACTTATCTCTTTTAATCACTCATAAATTTTATCACTGCAGACCTAAACGAACGCGGCAGCCGTCGATTATCGAGGCAAAAAATAAAATTCGCGTGAGTTTTGATGTTGCAAAAGAAATTACCGTGACAATTGTATTTGATATACTAATATTTTTTTGCTCCATTCATATTCTACGTGTTCGCTTTTTCTGAAATACGCATTTTAGCTGGGCCATGATGCATGCTGCAACTGTTGCTGCTGTTGCACACCGCAGCCTACATGTTACGTAAGTGATACATTCCAATGTTTGTAGAATTTTATTTATTTATCTGAACTAAAAATTAGAAAACGAATAACTTTTACAGAAATATGTTCAGCCGGAGGTGCCAAAATCTTTCGCCCCCACTAGAGTAAGTAATTAAAAAAAATTTATGAAAAATATCATTATTTTTACTGATTTTCCGGAAACAGCACGATATTATTAATTTTCTGTACTTATATTTTAAAAAACTATTATTTAAAGAATATATCTCTGATTTATTGCATTCATAAATATATTTTTGCTGATATCATTAAAGCCTTCTCTTTTTAGTATTTTCTCCTAATTCCGCTTTAGTATTACTGGAGATCAAATGTGCCCATGGACAAAGATACGATATATCGACTGTCCTACTGGGAGGGTCCCAATACCATAATCGAACCCATTCGTCCCGAAGATAATCTGACTTGTGGCGACGCACCAATGTCTGACGAAACGACGCACAAAGTACAGCAATATTTCGAGTTTATGACAATTTGCCGATCGGTACTTGATTGCTCTTTCAGATGAGTTTTTTCGGCAACTGGTGCGTGAAACCAGATTCACCAATAACGCCTTGCGACAGACAGTGGCTGGGTAGAGGTCCGATGGAAGATGTTACGACACACAAACACGATTATTCGTGGAAATGCGTGGAGCGTGATGAACCTTTCAAGGCGCAGAATAATTTATATTCCCCCTGCGCTGCTTTGTCCGGTAATCCGTGTCAAAGAATGTATATTCTTTTATTTCATAATATGTTGTAATTTATCAAATACAACTTATATTTTGTGCTAATTCTGATGAAATTTACTGTATTAATTAATGTTTAATATATCGGGGGACAGACGATACGACGTATCGCTTGAGCTACTACAATTCTCCCTGCTTGCTTCCGGTACCTTCTTATGCGCCCGACAGAAAATATGTCAAATCGGATGTACCAATGGAAGATTGTACAACGTACAAACTCAGCTATTGGCCAAATGAGCCTCCTGTAAAAGTGAGTTTTGAGTAATCATTCTAAAACCTATTTATTTTATTCAATCTATTTTTTTTTTTTTTTGAAGTTATTACAATCTGTGAATATTTTGATTAATTTTTAAATAATTTTTAACACTCTTTTAAACACTTGTTTTAAATATTTCTTATTTATTCTAAATATTCTAAATTTAAAAATATAAATAATTATTTAAAATATTTATTTTTTTAAGATTAGCTTAGTTATACAAAGATTTATAATAATATAATTATAATTCGTTGCTTAATATTTATTATATACGGTTTCTTACTTTCTAGGAGGAACAACCGTGGAGTCAAAAAAGAGAGTACTGTCGCCCGGTGACGCCGATAGACGGATGTACCACTTATAAACTGAGCTACTGGCCCCCCTGTGGCGAGAAGCCTCCCGCACCTTCCTACAACGAAGAGACCGACAACTTGCTGAACGCCGGCTGCTGTTTCGACGACAACACCACGTACCGGCTAAGCTATTTCGGGTGTGGCGGTGACAAGCCGCCGGATCCCATTCGCCAGCCTAGCAATATGATTTTCTCGCCGTGTCCGCTCTCCCACGACACCGTCAATCGAGTGAGCAAACGCAAAATCGCCATTTCTTCCACGGCGAATTTGATTCGAGGATGATACACTGATTTGGGTCGATAGTTACATCGCCGACTGCATTCTGCGATGATTACGAGGCGATTTTCTCGAATTGCCCAACGGTCGTTGCGTCGTCTCGCAGATTGATTCGATAGTTCTCTTTCTATCACGCTATAATGCTATTGTAGCAAGATGACAATAATGAATAATTCCGTAAAGATTGGAGACAGCGTTCGATTTTATCGTTTCAACATTGCAAATTTGCTTTGAAAATAATCGCTTTTAATTGTAGGAATTTTTATAAGTCAAATTGCTACTTTATTTCCCAATTTTATCCACATTCGAAATTTTTTGTCAGTCAATATCGCTCCCGTTACAGCTGAGTTTCTTGGGTAACTGGTGCGTCAAACCGGAAACACCTATTACGCCCTGCGATAGACAATTGTTAGGCAGAGGCCCGATGCAGGATAAAACTACTCAGAAGCGCGACTTCACCTGGAAACGCGTGATACCGCCGACAGAGCTTCGACCCGAGAACAATCTCACTTTCTCGCCCTTGCCTCTGGATTGTAAGTCTTCATCATAAAACGATTATATTACCATAATCTGCAACATTTGCATTTCTGATATTTCACAGCTGCATTCATTGATCAGGAAATAGCGCTACTTTTTACATTATTTCCATGTCCAGATCAGGTTTCTTCTTATTAAAAAATTTCAAAACGCATAAAAAAATTTTCTTTCAATTTTAGAAGTATCGGAGAAAAGTTTCTTTTGTAAAAAATCTCTTAAAAAGCAACATTATTTGACTTTTAATATTTATTGCATTTTACATTCTATTACTATGTCGTATCTCTATCATTATTTCGTAGTATATCTATTATTATGTGTAATATATGATTGTTGCAGCTTGTACGACTCATCGATTGTCTTACATACCGAACAATCGCGAGTGTCTGCTGCCCATTAAATCGTACGCGCCCATACGCAAGTATCAGACGTCCGATATTCCGATGGAATCCGAGACGACGATGCGACTGAGTTACCAGCTCGTGGAACCAACAGATCGTGTCGAGAAACCATGGGCTGCGATTGTGCCCTATTATCCACCCGTTGATTCCATGGAAGATAATACTACGTACAATTTAAGGTTTACTCCTTGTTCTCGTCCGATTATTTAGCTATATAGAATTTCGGAATTCACACTACACTTTATGTTTGTCTTTCATCAATTTAGGAGTTTACGATTTATCCTCTTCAAATTAATTTTTTAAAATTGTTTTCTTTATTTTTTTGTTTTAGTTACATTCCGCCAGGAACACTTGTCCCACTGTCGTCTTGTTCTGCTTCTTGTTCTTCTCCCAACAACTACGAAGGTAAGTTTTTAAAAATATTTCTTACTCTTTGTGTTATTTTCATAACATTTTTATCGTGTAATTTATTTTAGTGCCGCCGCAACAACCTTGGACCGCGTCGTGAATGGAAAGTAAGCAAATAAGATGTACAAAGTTGTGATAATATTGATACGTTAACATTTATTTTCTTACGATATTTTGCAGAAATTGCATCACGCAAAATTCCACATTCGAATGTAAACGTTTGTGATGTCCTGATAATATTTTTACTTCGATAATAAAGTGTTCTTGTGCACCACGATTTTTCAATATACTGTGTTCACCTACGCAAAAGATCGGCGAACAGTTAAACCAATTTTGCAACCGTATCTTTACAGTCATCGTAATCATGCACGGTCAGTAACGTGTAAAACTTTATTTTTCACTTAACCGCCGCATAATGAAGTAATGATTACGCAACGAGATGATACATTTAATGTATCCTTATTTGACGTAATAGCAACATAATAATTAATATTAAGTATTATGCATGACGATACGTCACGGTTGACATTCTGCGGTAATCGATGATTGGCTTCTCCGTGGCGATATCTTCCGCGAGAGAAACGTCAGAGTATACGTGCAAAAATCTGCATTATTACATCGATCCATGTTAATAAACCGTAGATAAATATAAATATTTAAAATGCCTCTAGACGTAAAAATGAGAATTTTATATGGCTTGGGAAATTAACAACTTCTCGCCAAGATTGCGTGAAAGTAGTTAACATATCTATTTGTTTGCGTAATAATCATGGGGTGTCTTCCTTATACGTCTTCGAAGCAGGAGCGACAATGTGCAGAAGAACCGGGAGAGAGCACATTTATAAGCTAATCCCACTCATATAAACGACCGAATTTTATTGTAGAATTAACTCCACGAATTGCAAAATTGTTTTTCAGAAAATTAGGTAATATATAATAATATATGGTTTTTTTTTTTTTTTTGATTGGATGACTTATTCTCCCAATAATTAATATATGCGCGTAACGAATCTGATCAACTCTACTTTCACCAATTTTTATCTCCGCAGCGAAATCTTGATTAGTTAAGCACTGAAATCAAGTGAGTGAAAGAAAAATCAATCGTTAATTATTATTCTCAAAAATAGTGTGCAAATTATCAGAATATCATATCGTCGCTGCGGACGTTTTCATAGAAAGAAACCTTTAATTAAAGTTAAGTAAAATTTAATTAATTTTCTGCCACTTTTAAACTTCTTTAGATACCTTCTAGAAGTTTCGCGCACGAATATAATTATCGCTTAAAGCGCGAAAGATTCTTCTTCTTAATTGTTTTCTTGATAATTATATTTTCTTAATTCTTAACATAATTAATAAAGATACTTTTCGTAATAAAGTAGATAGAAACGCGGGAAAGCAATCCACGAAGGCCGCGAAAGAACAAGCGCATTGCGCTAATCGGAAGCGCAGTCCCAGGCCGTTGATCGTGGGTTGTTGCGATGGCATTATTGCGCGCATTCTGATGCATATGTAAGTATGCATATTAGAATGTGTTCCTCTCCCATTGTCTTGCTGGTCTCATAATTCGTAAAACTACGAAACTGTATGGATGTGGACCCGCGGCTGATCCGCACCCACGATTCTTCACCGGAAGCGATACGAAAGTTTCGAGCGCAGGCATCATTCGTCTGATGACGGTGCAAAAAAGCAACTGAGAAACTCTCTACTCGCTACATTTTATCTGTGAATAGGAATCATCAGTATACTTGATTTGTCATTGTATACACACGCGCAATTTTTTTGCAACACAATTATAATAGGTTCTTAATTGCGGAGAATAAAATTCTCTTCGCGAGGCATTTTAATGTTACCGCTCGATCGGCGCATAATGAACCACAACTGCACAATTTATTAATTAATTCAGTGCGCAGCCGTGGTTTTATTACGGCTAAAATCGAGCGTGACGCGTTTTTGCAAACAATGGAAGTCATTAGTAGACTATTGAGCAGAACAGCCCATAAATTTCAGCCAAGAGTAAGGTCGCGCATACGGCGACGAGATAATCGGAGCAAGACGCTTCTTGGCACCGCGATCTCGGGGAGGATCGCGACGCGATCGCTCGCGGAGGAAGCGACGATCCCACACACGCACTCACTTCGGTCGATATGTAGGCTCCTTGCTGTAAAGCACACGAAGCATCTTACGAGAGCCCATTGCCTCCTCCTCGAGTAGGGATAAAGTGAGAGTCGGTATAAAAGGGGATTTCTTTCCTCTCCTGGGATCGCAGTCGATCTTGTTCGTTTGCGACTATCTCCCGTGCGTTCGCATACAAACCGTCGCACGTTTACACCGATCTGTCTTGTTACGAGGTGCACGTTCTGTGAATCAAGATGAAATACTTGGTAAGTAATCACGAGAGTCGCTTTCCGGAACGTCAATCAAGCGTGAGTTCCGTTTCTTCGGGGTTGAAGAAATAATACGCGTGTTCTTCCATTATTCTCGATTGTATGTTTATCGCGTCGCCGGAATAAAAAAATATATCAGTAATTAGCTTAATCAAAGTTATTAATTGGCGAATAGCGTTAATTGCACTTTTTTATCTAGCTCATTCTTTCGTCTTTTCCTTTAAATTTTAATTAAAAAGTGAATAAAGTCTAAGAATTTAATTAGAAAAGAGATAAAGTTTTAATATAGATTTATTTTTTCCTATTGAAGACAATAATTGATAATTAAAATAAAGTTAACGTTAGCTGACGATGATAAATCCGGCTTTCAGAAATTTATTTTTAAACTGGTAAAGAATTTCAAAAAATATCAAGTAGTTGAAGAATTAAGACAATTAAATATTATTAAATATTAAGTCGGAAGAATTGATGAAAGAATTGATTCATGGAAGATACGGTAGCGAAACATGTGTTCTTTGAAGAATCTTAAGAAGTTGCCATTGTCATTCACATATTGCGGCAACCGGCATTTATTAATTTATATGCGCGAGATGCATCGCCAAAGTGATGAAACAAGAATCGTGTGGGATTAACATACCGAAGATTTGCATAATTCAAAAGATGACACAAGCCTTTATTCTTTGAAATCCTTTTTTTTAATGTCTTAAACAGTTTTATTCACGCCACAGTTTGTAAAAAAATGGTGCAAAAGTTAATTTTTTTTCTTTATTCTTACATATTTTAGTCTGATTTTGATGAAAAACGTAATAAAACGTAGAGTAAAACTAAAAGAAATATATATATATTATTATAAAAGTAATTTCACGATTAGATTAATCGGTAAACGATACCAAACGGAACAGGCAACGCGATATTAAGGAGGGGTTCTCGATAGATCGGGACAAAACGGGACGGGCCCGGTCTCCGAGTTTGCGGGTCAGGAGTTAAACGACCCGCGTTGGCATTTACTTCTCACTTTCACTCATCTCTTGAGAGCGCATCGTTCGATTTCGTAGCAGAGAAACCGATAAATCCACTTTCGGGATTTGTGTTACACTCTTCCGCATCTATTCTCGTCGATCATTCGATCCGCTAATCCGTCCAGTGGATTAGAAAGGGAATAAACTGACGTAATATCTGGACCTTAATGATATAACGTTTCTGCTTAATGACATAATTGCACATTTGCACCGATTGCATTGCTGCATTTTCTCAAGATAAATCTTAATCACGCATTTACCAGTCGGGATGGGAATGTAAAATTTGCAAAATTTTTCAGGCGTTAGCAGTGATTCTGGGACTGGCGGTGGCGCAGGATCCAAATTATCGCAATTATCAGCAGGACGACGGTCATCAGACTGACAGACGACCTACATCCACCACGCCCATCCCGATTCTGCACTGGAACAAACAACAGGAGCACGATGGAACTTATAAGACCAGGTACAATCATATTTTCCACAATTTAAGTCGAAGCGATTATTTCAAAAATGTCAAGAAATATTAGAAAAACAATTTCAGCTGACATTTTTGATAAAAGTAGTTATATAAAATTTCAGACACTTGGAAAAATTTTTTAAATTTCTTTTTTAACTTCATCGTTATACATTATGCGAGCAGAGAGCATTTCACCGATGATCTCACACGTTTGACATAATCGTGTCCGCCGAAACCTTCGTCACACGAAATTCACATAATCCGGTTCCGAAAGTACCCACGCAATACTTGACCGCGGTGTTACCTGAAGTTTCGAATCCGCGCGAGCTTCGCCGGCGCTCATTTCAGCGTTACGCAACGCGCGGGATCGATCGGCTTTCTGGGCCACACGTTTGCGCAATCGATTATTTAACGCACACCCCGTACGACTTGGATCCCCGCAGTTACGAAACGGGCAACAACATCATCGCTGAGGAGAGCGGCTACATTAAGACCATCGGCGAGGGTGAGGACCGGGCGGAGGCGATCGTGCAGCAGGGCACCTTTTCGTACACGAGTCCCGAGGGACAGCTGATCACCATTCACTACACCGCAGACGAGACCGGCTTTCACGCGCAGGGCGATCACATTCCCACGCCGCCGCCCGTCAGCGAGGAAATCCAGAAAGGCCTCGACCTGATCTACGCCGGCATTCGTCAGCAAGAGGTACGTGCACCCGCGACCTTTCCTCTTCCGTTCGATCCTCGCCGCTCCCGTCACTAAGATCCGCGGACGCTCCTTCTATATTTACTTCTATAGAAACCGCACTTTCCATTTCACATAATTCCACGATGCGGACTCCGATTAATTCTGATCAATCTTGCGGCGCATAAATTATGAATATTAATTCAGAATAGCGAGCAATGGAGGGCACTCAAAAATAAAATGTAAATATCTACAATATTCACGCAAGCTTTTAATTCGAGTAACTTGTCGCAAACTTCCATTATCTTGCATTATAACAGATATTAGCTTTTCAAATGGTACGAAACAAAATTATGTATGAGATTTATTATTGAAAGACATAAAAATTTCAAAAGCAAACTCATTCAGAATTCACGCGGCGAGGTAATAACGCGCAAAGTTCTACTACTGCGCTGCACTTTAAAGTCCATTCACAGTTTCTTGTCCTCAATTACCTCATTTACTTCTGCCTTCTCTCTCTCTCTTTCTTTTGCCGCTTCTTATCATCTCTGTGCGTGCTCACCTTTGTCGGAGATATTCTGCGCGATCTTATGGGAAGAACTCCTGTTTCGCCATAGCTGGCATAGGTCACGGTTTCCAAGCAGGCTTTGCGGAAAGCCATTCAGTTATTTGCAGACGATGAACACACTTGCGAGTTCATGATAGCAATCCATATCGATGCGAAGACTAAAGACCGCTGCATGATATGAATGACTTGCGCAAAGCGAAGAAAGAACTTGGTTACTTGCTATCGCATGCAGTTTCCTTTCGATTCTCGTTAATCATCGTGTCGCTACAACCATGCAGCAGCTACTAATTTTCTTCTACTTTTACTGCGTTGGAGTAGAAAACTACAACCTTATGCGCGCCGCAGAAAACACGATATCGATGTGTTCGTGCTGAGAAATCTACATGATTTAAGACTGTAATATACAAAGCTCTGTTACTATCAAGTAAATCCGTTGCGATTCAAATTAATTTTATCCTAAATAAGTAGCAATTTTTTAAATTAGATTGCAAAATAAATAGAGAAATAATAAAAATGCGATTGTTCAAGTGATACGGAGTTTATAATTGCAAATATTATTCAGATACGTGTTTTCTTCAGTATCTCACAATTTCCATTTTAATTCTAGCAGGTCTCACATATTAACATTAATTTTTTATATTAAAAAGCTTTTTTTCTTCAATTATTGTGACATCTGCTTTAAATAAGTCGCGTGACTTCCGACAACAACTATTCCCTTTCCAATGAGAATCAGATTTCTACTCAATCTCTTGAAATTAATTAAGCTTGATGGCAGAGGAACAATTTATAAAAATTCGATACGTTTTAGGAGGAGGATGCTCGCGCAGCGGCCCAAAAAGTACAGCAGCCATTGAACCAGCAAATCGACAGGCGGGACGAGTACAACAGAAAGTACTAACAACTTCCGTCGATGCTCCGGCAATACAGCGTATTCGCAACACTGTATCGTTATTAAGAAGTAGCAATTAAGTTGTTAAGTTACGTTACCCCCCCCCCCACCTTGCGTCCCAAATACACTTTCTATTGTATGTATGTTTTATTAAGAGACATCGAGATTGGTAAGTCCGACTTTGTTCTACCGATTCCTCCATCACGCTGATCACGTCGATCCTTTCTCAACGTGAGATCCTGACATTCCCGATATGCACCATTAATGATTAATCTCCCTCTCCTTATCTATCTATATCTCTCTCTCTCCCTTGCGGCACCGCCATTGCCACCGTAATTGTGCTCTTCTGAGTGCTGGGAACTGACATTTCTCGTTGTGTGTCGCGATAAAGAAGAATGTCACGGGAGCAGCTCGTACCGGCGAAACTAATCCATCCGTGATTGTTTCTGCGTTTCATTCATGGTGCTATGACTTTTATATGTCGCCGTAGAACATTTCGTTTACAATGTATAAGAAGTTTTATAGTTTCTCCTTTTATATTATTATGCACAGCAAGAAAAAGAATTTTTCTAAAGCACCCTTTCTCTTTAACATTTTAACTGTATCAATTTTTTAACGTTCCGTTTTATACGTTATAATTTATTTAATGTCTAATCACTTTTTCACCTCTGAGTTACCATTGAAAAATGTATCTATGAGAGCATTAAATACAGTTTCGAGAAATGTTTCTCTTTTATAAATATATATCAGTGCAACGCAGCAGTAAGGAATAAAAACGAAAAAGAATTAATAATTGTCGGCGAAAGGAGTCAAATAATTTATCCTCTGAATAAATAAATCGAACTTCTCGCCGATCTCAGTCACACATATCTACGAATGTGTGAATGCGTTATCTCATGCATGTATAAATCTATACACAAGCATGCAGGCACTTAACGAACTTTCTGTGGAATAAAAAGTTATCACATTACGCGATCTATAAACATATATAATCAGCGTATGAGCGGCGAGAGATCTGCGGTTGATTTGCGCTTAATCGTGAAAGGAAAACATAGAATGGCGCCTGTTTAACGTAGCGAAGCGTTTTTATTGTTAGTTTCGCGTACACACAAATCTATAAGGGCGTCAGTCTTCGTGTTCGGAGAGGAGAGAAAGAGAGCGCACTCCGAGACCGGTGAAACTTCTCTCACGAGGTAGCGCGTCAAGGCCGGTGAAACTTTGAATGAGGTACGATAATTGGATAAGCGGATGCCGGTGCTCTTGGGATGCACTGTGCACTGCTATTACGGTTATGCGACATGAGATCGGCGTTCACGCTCCGCGGTTGCGCTGCGTGACGTGATGGATAAATCTGTTTTGTATTTAAATACGGCGCGCGATAATGCTATTCTCTCTGCAGTTGACAAAATATTATAATAATCGAGTACTTAAAATAGTTGACAATTGTTTGGAAATTATTATACAGAAAACTTGTGGATTTATAAAGCAAAAATAAGTGTTTTTCAAAATAAATTTATAAAAGTCATATCATTAAATGAAAATTGCTTTAAATTTTCTTGCAGTATTTTTTTACGGTGTTGCTCGTGGTATCTTCCTTGTAAAATAACATCTTTATGTTAAATATATGTTTTATTTATTTGATTTTTGTGTAAATTATACCATATGATATCACATATTTGACATTCCACGTGCGAACAGTCGTTCACTTTCGCGTTTGTTACACGTACGAAATAAGTTAAGCATAAAACGATATCTTATGCACAAATCATATTCCTTCACTCCTACGCAGATGTTAATGATAATTAATGTCGCTCACGGGGAACTTTAATCCGAAAATCGCAATTGACTACGCGCACAGAGCGGAACGGCACGGTTCTCATCGCCATAAAAGAACGGAAAGTGCGCGGTGTATCCGCTTTTACTTAACAATCAGCACCATTGTCGCGACGTTAACAAGACTTAACTTAACGATTAACTAACACTACGCGGCCTTTTCGTTGTTTGGCACAAGCGGGCGCATTCTGGCCGCGAGAAATTAGTAAAAAGTATATTCGGACACGCATTAATAATTATGAAAGAAGCTACATTATAGCGTCAATAGACTTGGCAATAGAAAGCTATCAAGATTCCCAGATCTGCGGCTCACATTGAGTTAACTCTACAGCGCAAAACAATGCATATTTGCATTGTAATCATTATCTTTGTACATCAGAAATCTTTAAGATGTAATTTGATGATAATATTAATCATCAGATGTTATCAAATTAAAAAAATAGCACATTGTAAAGTTAACGTCCGATCCGTTCATGCCAAAGTGCCGGCCGTTCTATTTTGATTCGGTAAGTGGGATCTCTTAACGCGGGTCAATATTCGCCAACAGTGCAAAAAATCATGGAGAAACATAAAAATGATAAAAGATGCAGAAATTTAAAAATTGTCGCGTAAAGCCGATACAAATAAAATATTTCTTCAAAATCTTGCCGTTAAAAAGTCATATTTTTTTCATTAAATCTCCAGTGAGAATGAATACTTTCTATTTCTAAAGAAAAATGTGGACTGAAAGAAGCTTACACACGATACAATAACGACCGACAGTCGCACGGGTTTGTAGATCGGTGACGCAACTGGAAAAGTTGGCAAACATTGTCCGACGCGATTCTACAGTTTTCTTTTCTTTCCAGGAAAGTCCCACCGCGCTTCCCTGAAAGTATAGTTCAACATGGCATCCTAACGTTGTCTCCTCGCGATATCCGATCATCTGCCCGCGATAATAACGTAACAAAGGCAGAACGATGAATCAGGAAGCCGCGCGCGACTGTTCTCGATGAACAGTCATTGTGTTCATCTTGCCTCTATGTGAACTTCTTTTTTCCCGTTGAGAGACTTCTTCACCCACTGCACTTCGACCATCTTCTGATTCAATCGATTCTCCTTCTTCGTAACACTACATCATCGCGAGTAATACTGGCAACCGTTAACGATGACGCAACGGAGTCGTAATCGGAGAAAAAAAGAGTCAGTCGTGGCACTTGGAGAAATGCTAAGCAACGTTGGTGATCGAGAATCCCCCGCGCCTCATCTTTCAGGCGCGGAAATAGCGATCTGTACGCTATTCTTCTTCCTCCCTTCAGCATTCGTCGATTTCATCGCGACCGGAAAATCGACCACCAACGGAGATTGCTTCGGAGAACATCAGCAACATCGGCGGCGATTCGATCCGACGAGCGGTCCCGCTGCCGAGATCATCGAGTCGAACCGAGGCCGTCCGCAGCGATTGGCAAGACCCAGCGTCGACGCGATATCGGATGATGAGCTGTTCGTGATAAAACGGTGCTACATGCGGCGGCGAAGCGATGAATAACTGAGGGAACTCGGTTACGTGGCGCTCGCAGGGGGGGCTCGCGAGATCCGCGCCCTCGACAGATCGGGTGGAAGCGGATCGTACGGCGTCGCGTTGAAGCCGACGTATCGATTGTTCTTCTTGTGCTGGAATCCGCCGGTGTGCGGATCCGTTCTGTAATATATCACCCGTCGGATGCCGAACGGATCGATGTAGCCGAACGAGCCGACATTGTTGCCGGCGGGTTCGCGCTCCTCCTCGTGATACTGCCGTCTCAAGTAGTACTGGAAACCGTTCGCCGTCGTGTGAGTGCCGTCGTAAGGCGGCAAATCGGCCGTATCGCTTCGCGAAATGGGAGATTGGTAGTTCGGCCTGACGGAGGAGTCTCCGACGGCGGGATCGTAGGGAGTCTCGAGGATCGGAGTCGGTCGCCGAGTTCCAGATCGGCGATAGTAAGCCTGTGGTCGAGGATACGCGTCTAGGCTCTGCAGCCCGGACGAGGAGTAGCTTGGTCGATTCGAATAATAATCGTTGCCCGCAATCGGCGTGTAAAATGGTCGAGGTCTGATGGTCGTCGGTGTGTAATAACCGGAAGTAATGTCGTTCCCGGACAGCGGCACGATAGCGTTGGGATCCGGTCGTCTGTATAGAAGACAATTGAAGGTTTTTAAAAGTTCTTGCAACACTTTTAACAAATTAGTTTTACTAGCAAATTACACTATACAGGTGATAAATAATTTTTTTATATACGTTGGAATAATTTAAATAGCTTCTGTTTCTTACCTGAAAGGATTGGGTGGCCTTCTGGGTCTGGCCAGGACTCCAGTCTGCGCCGGAACTTTCTTGCTTTCCGCCACTGCATCTTGAATGGGCCGATCTTTACCCACGTAAACCATTTTTGATCTGAAAAAATTCCGATAATAAATTCGTTGCTCGACCGTAATTAATGTTACCGGTTAATTTTATAATATTCCTCGTCGGACTACTTTAGTATCCGGAATCCCTCGTGGTCCGCAATGTAATCCTTCAGTCGTAAATATCCGAGAGGGTCCAGCCAGCCTTCGGTGCCGATCACCGTGCCATCGGCTAGCCTTTTTTCTTTCCTGTATTGACCGTTCGACGTTTGATAGCGAAAGAATCTCTCCGGGCCCTCGTCAGTTTGAATGTGATACTGCGTGTTGGGATTTAGGTTCCAGCCGCTCCTCTGTGCCTCGATCTCGTCCGCTGTCAGGCACAGCGCCGAAACCTGCAAAGTAAATCCGCTTTAAATCGTTTCCGCGTTGCGTCGATCACGTTACTGCTTCTTATGGAAAATCCAGGCATCTGGCATCTTATTAGAATTCCATAATACCTGCACGATGTATTTTGAATGGCATCGAGTTAATTTACATATATTACAAGTAAAAGTGGTCGGAGAATTTTGATTATAGATTATAAAATAGAATAACGCTATTTTTTGGGGGGCGCGGAATTAATTAAAGATTATAAATGTAGAACAAATTTATTTTTAATTTTTGCGTTTCTAATTTCAAAGCATAAAGTATATAAGATTTTTGTATTTTAGATAGATAATATATCTAAAATAAAGACTGGTAGATTAATTCATAAAAATTAGAACTTAGCTACGTGAAAAAAATTAAGTTATCTATTCACGTTGCAAAACATGAAAGTGAAACCTGCTGACCAGGTGTCATTACAAATCTAGATACAATCAACGGGTGATTTAGAGTCTACAAGCACGTACGCAAATCTGCAGTTTAACTAATGAGACAAGGACACATCGTGTTCAAGGGACGCGCCGACTACGTGGGGTGTTCCTCTGCGAAACGATTAGTCAGCATCATTTCTCGGACTATGAGAGAGGCCTATCTCTTTTCTTCTTTGCAAACCACACGGTCGTTTGTAGGCGCGGCACCGCATATTCCGCTGCGCCAGTCGGTCATAATCACTCCATTTACGGCGTTACGACCTGAAGACGATGAACGTTCCGTTTTAAGCGTGGTTTCGGACCGGAGCAGAGCTCGAAACGGCGTATTTTATTCCGTCGCATTTTTCACAGCGTTTGATAGCATTCTACACTCTCGCTATTCTCTCAGCTCTCTTCAATGAGCATATATCGCATCACAATGGAGAAAAGAGTAGTGATCGTTAAAAGTTGATTGCGATGCTTACATTCTTGCAAATTTAGATTGCATTTTTTGTAGAAAAATATCTTGTTCGTTGTACGCGTAAATTCTCATTAAAAATGCGTATCGTGTTGCTAATTTCTTCGTGACTTTTATCGAGCTCATGGTCGGTTAATAAGCAGATATAAAAAAAGAAAATATCTTGCAGGTAATTTTTTACAAAAGGAAACACGCGAGTATACGCAGCAAGGAGCTATGAATTCTGATTAAGTGGAACAATTTATCAATGACATCCCTGAGAAACATGACAATTACATTGAGATCGAAACCTTCTTCCTCCGTAATGCAAATTACTCGCAACGTTAACGCCGGCAACACGCATTGTGCGTATCGCGACTAAATTGCTATAAGGACAAAATTTCCATTTCGTTTTTTTTTTTTCTACTCTTCCCCTCATCATTATCATCAAAGACTCGAAATACTTACGGTCTATGATATCATAATTATTTACGGTTTTCTGTTTTGGAATTAAATAAAAAGTCCGTAAAAAGCTGGGGACCGTGAAGAATTCCATTTTACGAAATGACATCCTAGACCTGGGCCTACTTCGTTATTACAACCAGAAATATACACCACAATGCACCACAATAATCCTGACTACGCGGGGAATGCAATATCTTCCACCGTAGTATCTTTCATAGCGGGGAACATTGCGTGCAAACACGGTGGTCACGTAAGAGATACTTATCCCTTCTATCGCGGATTTTGCGTGGGATTGACCAAGACCACGAGGCCCGCCTCTCGTCGGTCCATATTAAGAGATGTCGGCTTGGCGGTGCGTAAAACAGACGTATTACGCACTGGAGTATTACGTATAAAATAATGATAAACATAATAACAGAAGAAGAAAAAGAAGGAAATAATTATTTTGAGAAAAATAGCGGGAAAATTTGCGACACGAACACGCAAAATAAGAGTAAACCGTCTTCGTTGATTTTGAAATAACTTTCATTCTCGAAAAATTTTGTCTAATTTTTTTTTAACTTAATAGACTGAAAAGCTCGTTTGTCATCCGAGCTTTCTAATAAAATTAAAAACGTATAAGTACAAAGAAAAGTATTTAAAAATGCTGGGCGTGTTGGAAGAGAAAATATGATGTTCTTCTTAAGCGATAAATTTCAGGTCCATAAATTATTTTGCGAATGAAGTTATGTTTTATGGGGGACATGGCTAAGTCGAAGTATACCACAGTTAACCTTGGACCTCCCCATGTATCGCATGTAAGCTTAATTTCCATCGTGTTACTGCATCTCTTGCATCTCTTCGTTGGGAAGAGTTCACACTGAAGATTGCTTTGGTATCCTTGAAACTGGTTCACGGTGTTACACTGCTGCGAGGCGCTTTGACTTGAAAAATTATTGTAGGTGTCGGACTTCAATGTTAGGTCGATATCCTTGGAACGGGCGTACCTCGCATCCTTGAGAATCGCGACACTCTGCTTTTGCATATAAATACGCTCTGATAAAACATCTAACAATAAGCATTTTCTCGATCCACACAAAGCTGATCATGTTCTATTTATATTAGACAAAAAAAACGTACACAAGATGGTGAGTTAGAAAGTCTTTATTATAAAAATAATAGCTCGTTTTTCTGTAATGTAATTATCAAAATATTTCTGCACACTTATTTCAGTAGCTTGACTTTTCAATTTTGCGATAAAGATCTCTTGATCGGGAAATTGCTCATTGTCAGTTATGCTTTGTCAGTCGTATCGCAGCTGTTAGTCTATTATTATATTAGGAAATTCTATCAGCTCTCTTGATATGACGTGTTCGTACGTGCAGAACGCTTTTTTCTGCATTCCATTCTATGGAATTCGAGATAATAGATCAAGAGCCGTATCATAAACCGATGATAGTCGGTTTGCAATTTTGAGAACGAGAACAGATCGCGAAAGAGATAAACTCTGTGAGCCTCATGACGTAATTAATATAGCTTCTATACATAGAGAAGCTTTTCCTTCTCGGCATTCGCAGTTCGCTTTTGTTCTTGAGAGAGAGAGACCGCGGGCGCTTTTCCTCCTTTTGTCTCTGTCAAAATTATAGTGTTTGCAAGCGAGTATTAATTTTCTTCCGCCGGGGAAGTCTTCCTTCTTCAATAGCATCAAAGTGGGAGATCGGATACATATACGTTCAGTCAACAAAAATATCGAATTACTTGGTTCTGCAAGCGTAATAATAAAAGAACAACACAACGCACACATATTATTCACAAATGTATTATTTGTTATTCGCTCGCGGCAATTTTAACTTAAAAATTAAAGCCAGCCGTTCTCATAAACACTAATTATATTTAATTAACGATAACCGAAGCTCAACTGATTTTCCATCTCTCTCCCTCCCTCTCTTTTTTTTTTCAATATGCACAGAGGCTCGGCGCATATGAGAAAGTAATTTAATATCTCGAGATGAGAGAACAAAACGATCCTTGCTCGAATCGCGCCGCAATGAAAGAGTTATTCTAGAGATAATTGCGACCTCAGGCTCTCTGGGACCATAAACAATCGGAATAAGAAATAAATTGCGTTATGTATCAAGGACTCAACACAGTGGCACGAATTTCATTCACAGTCGCACAATAGCGCCGCGATTCTCAGCAGCTTCGGGAGTTCTTTTACGCGGCGCGTTTTTCACCGTGCATCACGCATCAATCTCCGGCCTCTCGAAGGAAAGTCATCGTTTCGGCCGGCGATTCTGCACGAGGTCGTTTCAAGCCGCGCGATTAACCCGCTAAATTATCATTGCACCGTCCATTGTCCGCCGGGTCTCGGGTCGGTCACGGTGATTTCACCTTTTGCACAGAAGCCGCTGTACGACTCCTTTCGCTCGCTTCCGCCGTTCTCCGCCGCGCGCGATTCTCTTCTCTCATTAAGAACACCCACGCTCCACGGTTTCCCACGTGCCTAATCACGTGATATAATCTGGGGATTATAATTAAGTTGCACCCGGGAAATTGGCGACATTGGGTAGCCGACAATGAATTCGTGGGGGTGCTTATGAAAGGAAAATGACTGCGCTAATTGCTCAGGTAATTAATTAGCGAAGTAAATTAATTAACGGGTCCCTCGGTTGATCACTCTCGAGATCGCTCGACAAATAATTAGCTTGGCATTGACATATTTTTATCACTTAATTAATCATGTAAATTTCAGAAGCTCAGTACACGCGACTCTTTATTTTACAGTAATGCGTGAAAGCATAGCGTACGCTTGAAGGAATTCCTTGAAATAAATAAATTAAAAAAAAATAGGACGAACGCAAAATAGCCAGTCACGATAAACACTATAATTTGAATTCCACACTTTTTATTTTGCTACTTAACTATCAGTTTACTACAGCAGCATCATGTTTCATAATGAGAGCTCTTTCTTTAATTCCTGTCAATTGAGCTTAAATTTGCTTCTTTTTACCATTTATTTCTTACTTTTTATATTTTTAATATCATTAAAATTCTATATAATTTTTTTCGGTAATGTGCATTATTGTTCGCGAGGAGTCTTTGAAATCTCAAAAGCGCTCGCGCACTGCGCGAGCGAAGGTGCAGCATCATCGCCGGCGGCGGCGTCTCGCCGTGCGATCCACACGTTGCGTCGCATACAATTGTAATATCGCGGATCGCGATTACAATCGTAGATCGTGTCTCCTGGTATGCGGCTAATGCGCGATCTCGTTTGCGGCTTCACTTGGCATGCGAGGAGCGTCGGTGTTTCATGAACGGCGCATCGCGGCCTTCGCACGAACACGCGCTTATTGATATTCGGAGCGCGCGATATTAATTATCATCGCGCAGTTTCGTCGCGGTATTCACGGCACAAGGATCGGATGAGCTACCCACAAATTCTTTTCAAATGCGGACACCGTGCGTGCGTACCATTTACCAGACCGTCAATTTCGTAACTCATAGCATATGCGGTTAGAGCTGACACTTTGATACCCGAAGTGTTTCAGGCTGCTTCTTCGCTTTCACGTCGTCTCGTCTCGGTATTTTTACTCTCGGAATTTAAGAGTCGGTATCTGCTCCAAATTCCATTGAAATGCAAATAACTTTTTAGGTATTTATTCAGTCGGCGATTACATGGTTAAATGAAATTAGAAATTGCACGCTTCAAGCTACGGCTTTGATAATCTCTAATTATTTAAACTGTTTAAGTTAACAGGGCTGTGCTCCTGCTGTGCTCGGCGTAAATGTGGGCTACAAGGCTGGTCACGCACGCATTCTTATTTGTATACCAGCCGATGCCCGGGAGAGAACGTCCTCCTCTGTTACACTTCTATTCACGCGAGCTTCACGGTACACGCGCTCGTGCGTCAAACTCTCCCGGAGTAGGAATAGAGCCGATGCCTCTCTTTTCACGAGCGCGCGTCCACGAGCGTCGACTTTCATGAACGCCTTCCACAAATCGTGCCGTGTCAGTTTTGATCGAGCGTACATTTTACGCGATGACGTGAACGTACACGTGATAAATTGCATCCGACTGGTGTTCGGGAACAATCAACAGCTTTACCAGCACGAATAATTACGCGAGTAGGCTTGAGCCGTCATCGTTAAATATATGCATAGGTATCATACGCTCTCTCGGCAATACGGACGTAAACACTTTCAGTTTTTAACATTCTGAAGCTGCAGTTATATTCTACATACTTGTACATAATTTATGTAAATTTATTTATTAGTACATTTTTAATAAGTATGCATAAATTGATTTGATCTGCAATCTAATTAAATTCAAATTAAGTTTACATTCATATATGATAATCAAATCTCAATTTTCCTCCACGCGAAATTAATACGGAAGAATTGAGATTTAATTGTCCAATGTCAATACCGTTTTACAGATTCCATTTTTGCGATTCTGAAAATAGTGAGATTACGTAGTTACAACTGTTTTGCCGATTCATTTGCCAGTTACTGCTGGATGATTTAAGAGACCGCGCGTAATCACCAGTTCGCGACCGGCGATTTACTCGACCGAGAAGCGTCAATATGGTATTTCAATGTCAATGCCAATTTATTAAACGCTCATAATATGCAAATCTATTGTAAGGTCAGTAACTGTTAAAGTGATTGTGATTCAAAAACATTTCTGCCAATTTCAATAGCAACATCAAATTTATCTTGGTAATTGCTTGAATATAATTCGCTTCAATAATGAAGTGAAGCATTCCAAATATGAATACACATAAATAATTATTTGTAAATAGTAAATTATTTACTCATAAATCTATATATTTTTGTTAAAAATAATTAAATATTTGAAAAGTAATTAGATATATTAAGTTGCATCCAATTATAATTTAATTAAAATTTATAATTTAATTATAATTTAAATATCCAGATACTTGAAAATTATCCAAAAGCATCTTTAAATATAAATACTTTCATTGAATATAAAATCAATATAATTGCTATATTATGTATCTTTGCAGATTAATCACAAGTCTAATTATGTATTGCAAATTTGTAAAGCCTACCGCTAAGAGATTGAGCCAAAGACAGGTTCGCAAAATCATGGTCACGCCGGTGCTTCGTGAGGTATAATGCAACCTTGCAATAAACGGTCCCCGTTTCCTCGTTGTCGTCTTGCAGTAGTCACCGGTAATCACCGCGAGCCGAAACGTTCCCTTATTTCTTAACCAATAATCGCCCGTTTACGTACATTACAGTCTCCACTGATAATTGCATAAAGAAACTTCTCTCGATCGAATGATCGGGACCTAAAACCCACAAACAGGTATCTTAATTGCAAAGCGAGAAACGAGATATGCAGATATACAATATATGCACCGATGATTCATTTAATTCATTTAATGAGGGAAAAACGCGCGATTAAGCCGTGTTTAAAGGGTCACGAGCGGTAAAAGGAAAAAAACGCGAAGCACCCACTTTCGCGGACCGGATGCCTGACGGAAGCGGAGGCGGAAGAGGCCAGCGTCGACGAGTCATCGGCTGTGTCGACGTCGTCGAGGCGGACCGGGAGGACGCGATACTGTGACTGAGAACCCGGCGGTGTCTCTGCTATTTTCAGATCCGCCGTACGATGGATCTACGCTCCTTCCCTCGCGACCGACCATCCCCCTCCGTAAGGAGCCGCGAGACCGTTTTTCCCGACGACCGAGACCGCGCCCGCCCACCATCGCGCACCGGTCCGACGCGAGTACTCCACATTCGCGTGATGTTCAAAGACGTGTAATCGTTGCACACACGTGATACCGTGATGATCTTCGCCGATGACGCAAAGGGGTTGTGGTTCGGTCCATATAAGCTCAGAACATCTTCAGAAATATTTCTACGATTTGTCACGGAAAGTGGCTTTAGATAGCAATTCTCTTAAAGATGAGTTTTTTATTCCTTAAACCACGGGAATATTAAATTATGGTAATTTATGATAGTCAAAAATCCAAATATAAATCTAGTAGAGTTTAACGGCGATGACGAAAAGTTTCAGAAAGGAAAGTGATAAACAAGCTAGAAAATCGTTTGACGTCATCCAGAAATATTCTATGTAAAATAAAATTTCTTCGCTTTAAACATCGTTCAGTTGTTAACATTGTGCTGGGCTTGGTTATGAGTCTTGCAATTTTAATTCGTCTCGCATGACTGATAACCGCTTACATCCATGCGTAATCGCCAATCACAAATAGCACGCGATCTTGGAGGAGCAACACATTAAGGAAGCTATAAACGGCAGGAAAATCTCACCGTAAGATTTATAGTTGTCTGCGCGAGAAGTTAGAGATCGAGGCCTGGTAAGATAAAGATTTTATCAGGAAGTGTATTACGGACCGTTACACCTTGATACATAATTATTGCTTGTGATAAGGTTACGTGATATGGATACTTTAATTTGCATAAAGTATTCTGAAAAATGATTTTATTAATTTGGTTTAATAGGCTTCTTTTGAATAATGTAAGACAATTAAACAGAGTGTTATTAATTTCACAATATTATAAAATTACATAACATAATTGCATCGCTATTTTTCATATTCAAAGACTTAATATTAAAATAATTTTAATGAAATTCTTTGAAGATTTTATCATAGATGATAATGTTCATTCATGCAAATATAATGAGCTGTGATTACACCAATTATAAATTTTTCAAGAATCCAGGATGTTACCATCAATTGAGTGTACTTTGCATATATTTTCTCAGCTATTAATTAACTTATGCGAGTTATATAGAATTTTAAAATCACACATACACACACACGCACACACACAATTTATACAGATTCTTATGTAAATTTTTCCGGAAAATCCCAAACAATATTGTTGCATTTTGACTAAATTAAATCTCCTTTACATTGAATTCTCACAATATATATTCTTGACATGGCATTTCCTAAGACCTCGACAGTAGCCGGAAGGAAGATAGTAGCTTTATGTCATCTTGCATATTTGCGTAATCTTTGTGTCAAGCAACGTGCCGTAATCATCGTTCGTATTACCCACAATCATCTGACGAAATGAATGCCGCAAACCTGACATTCCTTTTAGTCACCGGGAAAATTTGTCATTTGCGCTAAAAATTGCGTCTTCTCTAACTTCACGTCAATTCCAACAGTGACTAATCGTGTGTATGACGAGAGAGAGAGAGAGAGAAAAATGCATCTTCTTTACATAAGTAGAATGCTAATTATTAAAACCAAAATAGAACGCTATCATTCTTCTTATTTTGCACATTAATTTGCAAACAGCAGAAAGAACAATTTAATAAATCTGTTTTAATTAAATATGTTCCAAAACTAACTCTTATTTTTTTCATTCATAATAAAAAATAAAATGTAATATTTTTAAATAATTACACATGTATTTTAATAAATAGTAATCAAATTGAAATATAGAAGAGCAAAAAGAACTAATGCCAGTTGTTCGTGCGTTTAAATATTATTATTGACACCGAAGAAGATCTGATGACAGGCTGAAACATTTGTTTATTTCATTTCAATATATATTTTTGCAAAAACAACTGGCATTGGCTCTTTTTACTTCTTTATATTTCATATTGATATTTAATTATCGAAGCCTTTATGATTTGTATAAAAAATAATTTTTTTCACGAATTTCTTAGAAAATTCTGCGTGCATCGCATATAATTATAAATTCGTCTCTATTGCAATAATAAATTTTTTCGAATAATAAGTGTCAGTTGAATCGTCTCGGACGAGAAAGCGTAGAGCTTGTAAGAAGAACTGTAAAGTGTTTTTGCTGCCGATAAATAGATGGAAATTATTAACGCGAGGAAGTTGCGCGATAAATAAATGAAGTAAATGGAATTTTCCCTGCAAAATTAACGTCTGTTCAATGATTGCCGCGATCTGAATAAATAATTTTCAATGCGGCATGAAATCTGGTTTTGCCGGAGGTTCCGTTTTCCAGCAGTGAATGGCATTATGTTTAGATGTAAATAATAAAAAAAAATAGCCTAAAGCTCGATGCTCGACGCGTGACACTTTTGACTATTATATTTGTGATAGCTGTCAAATTTCATAAATCATCATGAAAGAAATCAAAAATACAGGTAGTGTATCCCATGCATCGAGAAAGCTCTAAAGTGTTGAGAAAAAGTGCGTGGGATGCAAAGACGTAATATACAATCGCCAGGAGAAATAATCGTTACGTCAGTTAAAACATCCCATAACTTTATCATAAATCTGCTGTCGTGCGATTTTTCTTTTTCATTCATTCGTTACATGACATTGCAAAATAACAAAGAGATCACTCGAAACATAAATGAAGATTACAACGTAGATATCCAATTGAAAAATGACATTGTTAAGATATTTCTACCTTTAATCTGCTTTGGATTAAAAGAATACAGAAGAAAGGACCATCATTAAACACGTTTCTCTCTTTCATCATCGGCAAATTGAAAATTCAGCACGTTTTATCGCGCTTCCTACTTTTAAAAACGTCATGCTGTCGGGACAGAGAGCGGCTGAGAGCGACAATGAGATCGCTCTCGCGATTGTCCGAGACGCGTGGGAGTGTGCCCCATTCCGCGTCCCTTCGAAACAAAGCCTTGAAGGAAGCGATTGGTCTTTTGATCAGAAACCTTTTATTTGTCTTTTATCCCGCCGTGTCCAGGCAAATAAAAAGAATAATTTCGAAAAATATTCTTCGCCAATCGAGCACTAAATAATTATTCGCGAAGAAATTGTTACAACTAAATTTTTCAAAGGGCCAAGTTTATATTCTGATATTTGACAGTTTAAGCATCAAAATATTAACAAATGTAGAATATTAAATAAAAAATTTTTTAAATATAACGGAGTGGTTTCCAAGCAAATTTAAATTTGCAAAGAAAGAAAGATCGAAAGAAAGATTGACTCCAAACTGATGAATAAGTCAGTAGATGAAATTTCATCATTAGTATTAAAGCACTTCCATTCAGAGTCCACTGCATTCCAGGCTGCTGTTTTCACGCCACGCTGGATCATCGATATCGAGACTACTCCACCATGCTCGCGAATACACGGCGAACGAGCCCGGTTCGGTTGTGCCTTCGATCTGACGCTCGAGCGAGCCTACCGCGTATTTTCTCCTTCGTTTGGCGCACTTACGACGCGGCGCTTTCACTTTTACGAGCCGAGAGCAGAGGCGGGCGTTGAATGGATAGGCGCCGGCGTGCGTGTGTACGTGTGTGATAGTCGATTTTTGACAGTGAAATTTCGGAACTGTTCAGCACAAAATTAGCGCCACAACACATACAAAACATTGATTGCTTTCACAATCATGTTTCTGCGATAAATTCGTCTGCGGAGAGATTGAAAAAGATTTGAAAAGAATCAATCAAGAATCAAAGTTTTTTCTATCTTTTAGTGGCTGAGAAGATAAAAAGAATTACAAAAAGCTTTTACATTATATATTTTAATAAGAGACATATAATTAATATTTATTCTGGAGATTAAAATTATTTCTGTAGAAATTTCACAATACAATTTTATATTTTACATCGCTTAATGAAATGTGGGAGTTTCGCACATCTCGTTAGACAATGTGTAAGAAAACGTTAAATTTCTTTTAATTATCATATCTCGGTTATTATATTTATACGTGCAAAGTAATCAAGCGTTATTAATTATTAGCGTCTTGCGTTATTAGCGATTAATACGCGAATAATACATTGGACAATTAAAAGAATTGCTTACGCAAATCACGGAGTGCAATGCATGCAATGAAGCGCGTACAAACGAACAGTTTTGTACTCTGCACGCGACGCAACAAAAAGCATTGTCGCAAAATAATATTCTCACGCTCGGCACACACGACTACACACGCAGATCTTACGCCAGGAAATTGATAAAATCAAACACTCGTAATCCCGATGCATATACGCGATACGTGTCTGACATTGCGCGTATCCGCTCGACATTCTCGTGTCTCCATGAGTGCTGTTTCCTCGTTATTTCCCTTTTTATTTCTTCTCGTCATTCGTCTTATCGGGTCACATTGCCACAAATTATCATTACGTAGGTGGAAAAACCTTGAATAATATTTCTCAGATTGGCGTTTTTATTCGATGATAATAAGCAAGCGCTTTTATTGCACTGATAACAAACTGCTTATACGCGCGGTTCCTAAGAATTGACCGTTTTTTTTTCTTTTCAACTAGCATAATGATTGTCATAATTATAATTGAAAAGAGAATGTAACTTAAACCAAGATAATATTTTTTTAATTTTACATCAAAGAAACTATTATAGCATTTAAAATGTACAATAAAATTAAAAGACATGTGGAACGATATAACATTAGTATAGCAATAAAAAATATGATATATACGTTAACGTTTAAGGCTAATAACAGTAAGAATCGGATTTTTAACAGCGCAGCGCTTAAAATCGCATTAGCGATAACGAAGAGAACAGCAAGACTCACCACAAGCGGCAGAACGGAGACGAGTCTCCGCCGCATCTTGGATCGGAGACTTTAACGACAGACAGAGGGACGAGAGACCACCAGTCGGGTTGCAAATTTCGCACGGACACGAGAGATTGCGGGCGATCTTGTCGAGTTTAATCGTGCCCGATCACTGATCGTACTGAAGCCTACCGAACTAAAGCCGGATCGCACTTACGGCCTACACGTGAAGCAAGCCAAGGCTTCGTGGTTGGCAGGGCAGGCTGGACCCACGCGATTTTCCTTTACGGATGTCGGGCCGACCGTGTGTCGGACACCGATGGCTTCGATGGATAAACAATCAGACATTGATTGGGCGCAGCCTTCACTCTCTGAATACACACACAATAATCGTGGAATAATAGATAAATTTATTTTGCATAATGTGTGCGAAAGCAGTTAAATTTTGGACAAAAGTTTGCAACGATGTTGATGCAATCAATGACGAGAGCGATCAAGAATTCAGCAGCTTGTTGGAAATTTCCTAACACATATTGTGACATAAAACCATTTATGCCTACTTCAAAAGATTCTAAAATAATTTTCAAAACATTATCAACAATATTATAATTTTGAATAAATTTATAATAAATAATATATTTTTAATTATGCAATTAAAATAATAAACTTTGAAATTTAGTAAAGATACAAATACACGTGCTGATCTATTTATTGTAAATTTTTATAAAAATACTATTATATTAATAAAAATTATAAAGGCTTCAATGATTAAATATCAAATATAGAGAAGCAAAAAGAGTCAATGCTAGTTGTTCGTGCAAAAATATGTATTGAAATGAAATAAACAAACGTTGCAGCCTGTTATCAGGCCTTCTTGTCAATAATAATATTTAAACACACGCAATTTTTTCAAAATACATAAACGCACGCAACATACAATACTTACAACAATAATATTAACAAATTGTTAAATAGGTTGCACGAAAACGGTAATAAACAAAATTAAACATTTCGCAATAATGCAATATATATGTATATATGTTCGTATATATTGTATGTTGTAAAATTGCGTGTGTTTATGTATTTTGGAAAAATTGCGTGCATTTACATAAATATTATTATTGACACTGAAGAAGGCATGATGACAGGCTCAAATGTTTTTTTATTTTATTTCAATACAGGTTTTTGCACCAACAACTGGCATTGATTCTTTTTGCTACTCTATATTTCGATTATATTACACAAAGTGTCTAAAAAATCGCAAAATAGTAGAGAACTTTCCCATGATAGATTTCGAATTCTAACTTTATGCGGTACAAAGAGCGCAATTTCCGCGACCGCGACGAATGGCAGTAAGTATAATTCTTTGTCTCATATTTTTCAGGATCCTAATTTATGAGGAAACTTCAAGTGTCGCATTCATTCGGCGTTGATTAACAAGATTACATTCTCAGCGTTTGAATAGCAGCGGCAGCGTGAAATTTTTTAAAACACCGGAAATATTTCCCGTCACATACGCATGAAATTGCAGCTCGGAAAAACGCAGCATAATGATCGCTTTCGCGATCACTCTACGTAAACGTGGCTAACAGTGTGTTTATAAGTATCAGCCGATGACTGTGCTATTGAATAAACATACCATCGGGATATTTGTAAGACAAAAATATCTTTTATGTAAAAAAATTCCTTGGCGCTGGATTCAGATTTTAATTCAACGATTAAATTATTCTAATTTTAATTCGACAATAAAAAAATAAAAATTAGTAAAGCTTGCTTTTCGGAATAATATATTTTTTTCCTTTGTCTGTTCAGCCGATTATAAAGCCATTTAAATCTTTTTTTTGCTTCACGGAAATGTCAACCCTAAACGCCGCTATCTGTTTCATTGTGTACTCGGAGAGAATGTGTCGTTACAAACGCGAACAGTAGACACGTTTTATTATCTTCTTTTTTATCGCGTGTGAGAATATTGCTAAACTGCCGACGAATAACTGTGGGAATTCAGAAAATTTTGGCGCTAATTTATGCAAGTGGATTTACGTCGCGACTGTTACGGTCGAACAGAGCGAAATATTGTTCCATGATAAACCGCCTACTTGCCAAATGGAACTAGATACGCCAGGACTGCCTTCCACGACAAACACTCGCGTCGCATGACGTAATTATTAGACTTTAGAATTCGCACTGTTGCCGCACAAAGTACATACACGGAACTAAGCCAGATAAAATAACGTGGGCGCGTGAATTCTTTATCGTTCTCGAAGACGCCTGCATATTGTCAGCACCGGACGTTCACCCGAGATCGTTGACCGCAGATGGCAGAAGCATAGGAAATTTGTTAAGGTCGCAACCCAAGACTCTGAACGAATATCCTATTTTTATCCTTGCATGACTAATACTCGATTCACAACAAAAAGTCTCAATTGCACTTCAGAAACTCAGACAGGTAAATACGATAAAGTACTTGAGTCCACGGACTCTCCAAATAAGTCGGAGTCGACCGATGAGTCACGTGACTCTCGCGAAGCAAACAATTTTACTACTCATCAGCTGACCATAATAACATAACAGTTATGCAACAACTTACGCATGTCACACGTACGCGCGCTGCATTCATAATTAGACGGAAAGTTTACGAGTAACCTAGTATTAAGAATGTAAAACGACATACAACGAAAACCGGATCTTTCGTACTTTGTGTTCAGTTTGGACAACATGTACGCGCATCTAAAAAAACTCTCGTGTAGTTTTTTTAAAAAACTAACAGATATTTTGAAAAAATACAAAACATATATGCTCCATCGTTCTAACAACATTCGCAAATTCGGCGCGCCGGCAGGAATAAAAATTGTTTTGCATTCTGCCGCATTCAAAAAATTGACAGTTATTAATCATTTTCATACGCTAATATATAAATACACAATAATAGATCATTAACTTATTTTATCTCGCACAAAAAGACCCGTTTAAAATATCCTCGTTTAACAAACCAATCATTACGACATTTGTTCTACAAAAAGCTATCGTCCGCTCGACTGAGCACAAACCCGACGCAACCTCTTCACCGACAAAACTGTCACTCGACACGAAGCAATAGTATCGCTTAATAGAAAAACGTATTGTTCGACCTAACATCCGTCGATTAGTGCTTTTAAAAGATTTCCAAGAATAATTATTCAATGGAAAGAGAGATAGAAAGATGACACAACTAAAAAAGGTATTAATTCATAATCAACATCAAATTAATCCTTTCATAAATAATCGATCTTTTGATAAATTGAAACTTTAAAATTCAAGAGCGAAAGTTTATACATATATTATTAAACAGACAATATGTGTCTTTCTCTTAAATATAAGCAATAATTTCCTAAATAATATATTTTATCTCATATTTGAAGTATTATATTACAATATTACAATATCTTATCATATAGCATATTTCACATTTTAAATAAAATTTTATTATCAGAATTATATGATAAGACACCATAAAATCACATGTTTAATACACTCATTGCTGTTATTAGCATAAAGGTGGGCCTTACTGTATGGAATCGATGATTACATCATCGTTATTCCATACTTCGCACAACTCAATGCCGAACCACTTTGCCTTCACTTTGGCCTTGCTCGCTTTTCGCGCTTACCTAGACCCGCTGGAGAAAGAAGCGCGGGGAGAGATCATTCAATTATGCGAATACCCACGTATAACTTTTTAATTAGCCATAAATATCCACGGCCGACGAAACGATATCATGGGTACATTTAAACTGTTTGTCAGGAATTAATCAGCAATGAAAAAATATTTTCACGACAATGCAAAATTATTAATCCATTTTTATTATTATCAATTGAAATATGAATTTTGGCGATTACGACATATGTTTATAATACGACAAATTGTAATAGCATTTTTTATGTTTCTCATATTACGTTTTAAATTATTAAATTTATAATCTACTTAAATGTATACAAAAAATGTGTACAATGATAATCATATCGATAGCATTATTTCTATAAAATTGAATAAAAAAGATAAATAAAATGTATGAAATTTACAAGTCAAGAAATTGTACATATAATTCTCAACGTGTTTGTGAAACATGACTGTAATAATTATTTATCTTGTTCAAAAGCTAAACGTATTTAAACTTTTTGTTGAATTTTGAAGAAATAATAAGGATATGATATAATGATATGATCTTTATAATATATCTTGTATATATTTAAATAAAATATTACAGTAATGCAATGTTGTGCATTATAGCGGCATGTAAATTTAAATATTTGTAAAATTTATATCTTAACAAGATAATATTACAACATGCAAAATTTCTAAAATATACATTTAATAACAAAAATAAAGGATCATTACATTTCACAGACACGTTTGGCTCCAATGCGACCGGCCAGATTGGACATTTATCGGAAGAGAGAAAATCAAACGAAAAACGTATAAAATATTAAACGAATAACATACAATACGTTAGTGATGAGCAATTACAATCGAGCAGCAATATTGATATGTTTGCCCCTAAGTGGGAAAGACATTATAAAAGCATCAATATTTTAGCAGTGTGCTCACAGTCGAATGGTAACATTAATGTCAACCAACATTTCTGTTTTACGTGGATATCGTTACTGCTGTGAAAATGAGTATAGTGTTCATAATTGTCGCATTAATACCTTTAGTATGTTTTGCTGTAAGTTACTTTATAATAAATTTCCGACGTCAACAACTTTATATGAAAGCAGTAAATGCTTTCTCAAGACCATAAGCATTTTCAGTCATTGGAAGTGCTCATTAGCTTCTGAGAGCAAGCACTGACAAACAAGTAATAACGTATAATAATATGTATAATATATACAAAAGTGAAAGAATTAACATTAAATTAAATTTTACACGACAAAATGATAATCTTGGTATTTTATCTTATTTCAGACTTAGATATTTCTACGCTGTAATTTTATTGTTAATTATTTTTACTTAATGATTACTAATGTGATGTATGGATTTATAATAACAAATAAAAACTGACAGAGAAAGGCTTGATATTCTGTTGGAAGCATTTTATGAAGAAAAATTAACTCAGCAAGACGCACCATCATGTATTTACAATGTTATTCTCTGTATGTGTAAATTTTCGCATTGAAACATACATACATATATGTAAATGTGTAATAAAAAATTTTTTTACACAGGCCAATGACACAGCTGGTGCAGTTAATTTTGTAATCTTTATGCTAGCAAATTTTAAATACAGGTACGTGGAAACTAAATTTATTCAAACACTATAGAATTTATTATTTTTAATAAATAAAATTTATAAACAAATTAAGAGAGTTTCCACAATCTGAATAAATAATAAAATATCAATTTTTTCTACATATTAGAAACGTATTATTTTTGATTATTATATTTCTATTATAATAATATTTTAATATAATTTTAGGAGAAATTACTTTACCAAAAAGGACTGATATCATCATATCTATGTTACATATGCACCAAACTAAAAAACATTGGTCAAATCTTTTGGTGTTTGATCCAGATAAATTTCTCTCAGAAAAAGAAGTGGATTGTTCGAGATATTTTTATGCCGTTTAGTAACGAACTTAGAAATTGTATAGGTAAGCATGAATGAATAACCAAAAATTATGATAAAGTCGCTTTGTATATAATTAACAAAATTGCAGATCAGAAGTCTGCGATAATGTCTATAAAAGTCATTCTAGTAATATTGATACGAACGTTTAAATTCAAATAAAATTATCAAAATAGATGAAATAAAACTTAACATGGATATATCATTGAATATTGTCCTTTAAAAATTAAAATAAAGAAAAAAGATTGTTAATTTATTAAAAAATGTAAAAATTTATATTGACTAAAGATAAAAATAAAATAAACATATAGTATAAACATATAACAGAGTATTATAATATATGTCAAATATCATAGAGTACACTTTTTTTCCATATATTTCAGTGAGCAAATACGAGCAGTATGTAACAATATGCTAACTGATTTTATTACAATTTCATTACAAATTTCGAAACATTGTTCTCATTAATCTTACAAGTTTGTCTGTCTGCATGATAGAGTTTGCTCAAAAACGCCAATCTTGAATGCCGAATTAAAAAACGATATATCAAAAAGTATAAATGATTCATATTATTTAATTATATGTATTTCACGCGATAAAGTTTGCTCGATAAACCAATCTGTTATCCGTTGTAGATTTTTTTAATTTATGTGATATGGATTTTTATTGCTGAGCATTGAAAGCTTATATTTTAAATATAAAAATTATTTTGAATGTTAAAATATACATTTTATTAATTTTATACTTTAAAATCTGATGTCAACATTTGATAAGCATTTTAGAATTTACATTTTTTTATTGCTTTACTGCTTTGAAACCTTATATTTTAAACAAAGAAGTAATTTAAAATGTTTTACTCATCAATTATTTATTTGCTGAAAGTATGACAATTGATAACTAAAAGTCGAATATTGTCACATATGTAAATAACTATTGATTAAAGTACATTGCTCTGTGCCACTTTAGATGATGTATACTTTAGACAACGAGCTTTACTGTATATGCTATTTTATATTGCATTTATGTCACCAGTTTTCAATATTCAAATGTAAATATTAATTTTGCGTATAAATAACTATTGCGCAGCATAACCACATCTTTTGATAGTCGATACACTTATAAATACATCGAAGATATCCGCCCGTCACTGACCTCTTTTAGGAGAAAGTATAAAATCACGATTACCCTATATAATGGTTCACGTAAACATTAATCGCGACGTTGTATTTAAGAACGACAATATTTTTTTTAATTAAACATATATTATAATTATAATTATGAGAATTGTGTTATAATGTTAATATACGGTACAATGAAACGTGAACTAAGTAGTAAAATTAAAAGTTATAGCAGTGAGCATTCACTTGTATAGAAAGCGACACGATATAGTAGCACTTTCAAGAAATAAACTATCAAGAACAATACCAAGGCGATTTTATTTAATTGTAATTAGCGCAAAAATAACAAACAATAGAATAAGAAAAAAAAAATTCTTTTAATTATTTACTTTCATAAAATATAATTATGTTGTAAAAAATATATGTAATAATATTATAAAATGTAACTTGTTAAAATTAAATCAATGTTTTATATATTTTAATATATATATATATAACAAAATATCAAATACTGTGCAAAACAATCCCAGTCACATCAGTAAATGCTGAACAATAAGAGGAAAACAACAAATGCGGTTCCAATTCGAATATTAACTGTAAATTATAATTAAATCCCCAGTTCTATAAAAAGAATAACAGTTTCAAAAAAAATAATTACTTAAACATAAAGAAAGAAGCAATAAAACATTAAAATAAACATTATTAATTACCCATCTAATGAAACAATTATATTATAGAAGTAACATAATTATAACACAAACTATATATGATACAATATATGAACTACATGATATATTTGGATAAAACTATTCATAACATTATTCGATTTGATGAGACATTGTTTTTAGAAATGCGGTAAAATCTTCCTCAGGCTTCAAATGCAAAAGCCGACAAGATAAATCCCACAGTTTCCTAGCGTACCAATCATCCCTCGCTCTCCATTGTGGAGTTGCAATATCACAATTTCTGCCAAAAGTGGAATTAATATTATTAAAAAATTTTGATTTAATTAAAATTTTTTATTATTTTCTATATTATTATTATCATACTTGTAATAACAATAATACAATGCATTTCTTACGAATAATAAAATCCGGTCTCTTTGGCCGCTTTCTCGTCCACCGCACAATATATTGTCGTTTGCGCTCCTTGCACTATATTCTTACAGAACATCGCTGTAAATAAATTATAACAAAACTGCGCACCCGGAAATAGAGTCTTGTTGCCATGCCGAAATATATCCGTTGGAATTAAACCAGGATGCAAAGAGTATACGTTTATTCCATGAATGTTTGCCTCTAAGAATCAAAAGTAAAACATAATTACTTTTACATATATTTTTGTAAATCAGTAGTATACTAAATGTTACAATACACTCTAAAATGTTTTCCACTTAATGCAACAAACTCTGTCATGTCTTATTAACAAGCAATTAATAATTATTAAAGTTTGTATTTGTTACGTAATGACACTCGATCTTTCATACAATTACAAATAATGATTGCTTTTCCCAAAAGTTTTTTTCTGCTGACCTTTCAATCGACGCGCGAGTTCTTTAGTGAATAGAACGTTTGCCAATTTGCTTTGTACATAGGCTTTCCATGTTCCATACGATTTTTCCAGAGAAATATCATCAAAATTTATATCACCAACTATAATAAAAGTTGTTATATATATTACATAACAAACAAAACTCAAATGTGAGTTGTGGAAATGCATATTTTTTTCTGAAGTTAACAGCGGTTTTACATACAAAGATGCAACATAGATGAGAGATTGATTATCCTACAGTCGGAAGAAGACAAACGCATTTTTGGTAAAAGCAGAAGCGTCAGAAGGAAATGACCGAGATGATTCGTTTGAAATACCACATCATGTCCGTCTTCTGTTTTTTCGAAAGAAAGTAATGCCACACCAGCATTGTTTACCAGTATATGAATTTCTGCTTCGTTTCTCAGTAAATTTTTAGCGCAATCCTTCACGCTCTTCAGACTACAGAGATTCAATGAATAAATGACTAATTCACCCGTACTGTTCAGGAATACGGATTTATCAATTCTGGAAAAGATCACAAATTATGGGGTTTTCTATAGATTCAGTTAGAAATAATTAAACTAATATGTTTTAAAGAAATAAGTTTAAATATTTTCGTAATGTGTTTATACCCTGCAGGTGGATTATTCTTTATATCCTCGACTGCTTTTTTTGCCTTCTCCATATTCCGACAGGCAAGAATTACCCTAGCGCCTAAATAAAAATTTTATTTTAAGCAATTTATTATTTTAATTTCAAAAATCTTTTAAGTTTAAAATAATTTAATAATTAATACTTATAAAATCAAAGATATATTAACTAAAAGAGTTTATCTTTATTTTATAAATAAAGTATTAAGCAAAAAGTAAAGCAAAGTTTGTAATTAACAAAAAATTTACGTTTTATATTTATATTGATTTATTATATACTTTATTACTTTCTTAAAATTAATTACTTTCTTATTTTTATATTGAGAAAAATACAATTTTTTTGAAAAAATGTCACTTTATTTTAATTATTTTTTATATAAGCCAAAACATTATACGTATTCCATTTTATTTAATTTTTTTCTTTTTTCAGAAAAAAAGTATTGTTTTTTTTTATTAACTTGTAACTATTAATAATAATTTTTATAAAAAATAATCGTCACTTAATCAGATTGCATACATACATATGTTTATTACATATTTTTTATAAAGTAAATGAGAAATGATATATGTATTATCATAAATGAATATCATGTATATGTAATAAACCATTACTTGCGAGTCTAAGTTGAGGCTACTGTTCAAAAGTGCATATTAAATAAATATACGTATATTTAAACTGATTAAGTCTCACATCTGTAAAAACTTATTAATAATTAGATTAGTTAATAAAAAAAATAAAATTTATATTTATTTTAAGAAATTATAAACATACATTTTTAGTTTTGTAATATAACATAATATAATGGGAAAAAACAACAATACGTTTATATTATTGCAGACTGTTTGATAAGTATTAAATTTTTTTAATATTTAGACATGGTATCAACGTTAAAAATTAAAATAAAAAATTTTTTTCGAATATTTGATAGATTAATATATTACAGAATAAATAAATGACACAATTAACAAAAATATTTTTTAATTATTTTAAGTTATAAAAAGAGTTTAAAAAATTTAGACATATTTAAGCAACTTTTCAAGTTATTTTCAAATTACCTTAAAAAGTATCAATACGTTTAACACATTACAATAAAATATTATTCAACACTATCTTGAACTGTAATAATATTCTGTAGAAAAAAATATTAGATATTTGTGTATAAAAAGTGTAACTAAAATCACAAAATAAAACAACAATGTAAAATAAAATAAAAGTAAGAAATCAAACGCTCAGATTTTGACTAATTGTTGATCCATAAGTTTGTTTTATACGTGTACTTCTATTTAAATTTCTTAACTTAAATTTTCATTTAACAAATTAAATATCAATTTACCCCTTCTGTAAAAATCTCTGGCAGTCTCCTTGCCAATGCCGCTGTTTGCGCCTGTTATCACTGCAGTTTTGCCGTCAAGACGCACATTGCTCGTACACATCTTATTGAAAAACCACATCTTATGTTTGATGCCTTTTTGTCTACAATAGTATTAGCGTGCGTTTAAAACTCTGTTTCTTTTTGCACTAAAACTTGCTTCGTTTGGCTTTCTACTAATATAATGCGTATAATATTCACTCTGTTCTATATTTCTAGTGCCCATATCGAAAAAATTACGCATGTTACGCAAATTATGCAACGTAGTGGGATCGTATAATTCGCAGTAAGACAAAGCTGCTATAATTAGATACAATCAATATTGATATCTACGTGACTCATCACTTTACAGGTACACAACAACAAGCACACATGACTTGAGTTAACTAATTGCTACATAAAATATCCGATCAAATGTTTATTAGATCTTATTTATATATAACTCTTATATTACGTTAACACATTATTTTATTACTCAGTTATTTTGTCAAACTTAAAATTGTGTTTTAATTTTAACAGAACGTACAAATAAATAAAAAGCAATTAAATTTTAACTATTTTAAATTGTAATAAATATTGATTTGAAAACGACAGAATATAATTAAATGCAATTTTCTATTGACATTCAATAAAAATCTATAAAAATGAATATAACACATATTTGTCTAGAATTACTGATAACTAATTTTGCACATGTTATCATTCATTCAATCAAAGTTCAATAGACTAATAATAAGATTCGCATGCAAAGTAAGCTCAGAACTTGGGAATAACTAATTAAGACAAGGTACGCGTGAGTATATGTAATAAATTAATATATTAACGCAAAGGACACAAATTAAAAATTTAATTACTTTACTAATCAAATATGCATATGCATGGCGCAAATTGCATTACTCTTCAGATTGATAGATTGATACAATATAATATTTAACAATTAAAAGAATTAGGACTTAGACGAGATGTATGGAGTGCAATGCGTGCAACAGAATACACGCAAATGTACAGTCTCTGCTCACGATGCAATAAAATAAGCATAGTTGCAAAATAATATTTTTATAATCAGTTGTATGCAGTTTGTCGAGAAATTAATAAAATTATGCATCCGTAATCTTTCTCAATGCATGTATTAGTGACGGATTTAAAGAAAAAGGCCCGATCCGCAAACGTTACAAGGAGCCAATTTTTATGTAGGTAGGACTCGTTTTTGACACTTGTTAACGTGTTCGCATATTTTAACGAATCTCAATTACGTTGAATCTGATGACTAATGACTAAATTTGCTTTCAAAATTTCTGTCTTTCCCATTTGTAGCTTTTAAAATTTGTTGCCTATTCCAAATAAAACCAATCTCAATCAGCCTGAAAATGAAACGTAGCGAGTTGATACTTTTAAATGCGTTTATGTTCTTTGATAATAGAATTAGAAGTATCGTAGTCTATTTCACGATTTTACGCGTTACACGCCGCCCCGGGTTACTTTAAATGTTAATAAATAATTTTTTTAAGGGGGGTTCTTTTCGAGCCGGGGCGGCGGAGGCCCGGTCCGCAAATGTCGATTTGCGGACCATTAAATCCGCCACTGGCATGTATATAATATCATTATTACAAAATTAAATTAACAATTATTTCAAAATAACAATAAAAGTTGAGAGGATATCAAGGCTAAAAAACGCAAGTTGTTTATTGCTAGTTTTACATATTTTGTAGATCCTAATTCTTCGTTACATGTCAATGATAAATCTTCGACGAATTATACAATGTTATAAACGTTTCGGTCAATTTGACCATCTTCAATATATTTTAGCCCGAAATTATCGTAATGTAAACCGATTCTCAATTGAGGTCATGCTATAAATTACAAAAATTAAGTGCTAAGTTATAGGCCTAATACGATATTAATAAGATAAATAATTTGAGCTCTCATACCTTTAAGACTGTGATATTGTTCTTAGACTGCCGATTGAGTACCTGATCGACTGATTGAGGACAACTGTGAAGCGACAGGCATTGAACTTTATAAGAAAAAAAAGAAGGTAATGTAAAAGAGGGGGAAAATTTAGGAATAGAAAGAGAAAAACATTATATTGTGGTTTTATAAAAGCTAAGTATTAGTGTGTAGAAATCGGGAAGGAGTTTGGTGTCAACACTCTGCTCATTTAAATCTTGTTTCAGTCTTTTGATATTTACCATTTCAAATGTAAACATCTAGATAAACATCTTGATGATATCGACCTTATTCAATTCTTATGACGCCAATTATATATACAATATATAATACATATATTACAATATGTTTCAATTTTATATGAAATTAATAGACTGATAATAAATTTAGCTCGGATTAATCAGCAATTTGACGTGAGATAGTATTCAATAATGCAACAAGATTTTCCTCGGGCTCCAAGTGCAACAGTCGACAAGATATATCCCACAACTTTTTGCTATAATCGGCATTCATCGCTCTGCTAGGTGTCATGGCAGGACTGCAATCACTAACAAAAACAAAGAAAAATCACAATATAATTAATTTTTAGATATAAAAGATTTAAATAAAATTATTATATAAAATATATTCATATATATAATATCATATAACGCTTACGAATAATAGAGCCCAGTCTCTTCGCCCGCTTTTTCATCTATCGCGCAATATATTGTTGTTTGTGCTCCTTGCACCACATTCTTAAAAAACAACCAAGTCCAAAAAGTATAACATTTGTCCGCACCATAAAAAAAAGTGTCGCCGCTATGACGTGATATTTCCGTAGGCATAAGACCAGGATGTAAGGCGTAAACATTTATTAGCCTATACACAGAGTAAACTGGCAAATGTCCTATTTACTAAAGAACTCGTGCGTCAATTGGCAAGTAAGTCAAAAAAGAAGATTGGATAAATTATCGATAAACAATTAGTTTTAGAGTAAAATTCTTTAATTATTTATTATATTATTTACTATCAATATATGATACGTTGTAAAATAGTGTAAAAAGATTGCAATACTTTATAAAATTTAGTAAATATAAATTGCAATGATATGTTTGCATACAATTACTATTAAAATATTAAAATAACTATAAATAAAATATATAAAATTACTGTAAAAAAGCCTGAAAGCTATTTAAAAATTTATACTAATTAATATTCGATTTCCAGAGGCAAAGATAATAGGAATAAATGTTTACGCCTTACATCCTGGTCTTATGCCTACGGAAATATCACGTCATAGCGGCGACACCTTTTTTTATGGTGCGGACAAATGTTATACTTTTTGGACTTGGTTGTTTTTTAAGAATGTGGTGCAAGGAGCACAAACAACAATATATTGCGCGATAGATGAAAAAGCGGGCGAAGAGACTGGGCTCTATTATTCGTAAGCGTTATATGATATTATATATATGAATATATTTTATATAATTAATTTTTAGATACAAAAGATTTAAATAAAATTATTATATAAAATATATTCATATATATAATATCATATAACGCTTACG